GATAAGTTGGTGGTTCATTCCCCTGTGGCGACCCCTGATTAATATAGGGACTAAGCCAAAAAGAAAATGAATGAATGAATAATAATAATACAATGTTAACTTTAAGTTGCTGTAACTAGAAAAATTAAGCTACAGTAACTAGAACTATGAAGTATCAGTAGCTAAAATGTTGCTGTAACTAGAACAACTAAGTTGTATTAACTAAAAAAATACATTAGTTAGAAAAATTTGATTGCCATGACAGAAAATGAGAACTAGAAATATTAATTTATGATAACTAGAAAAATTAAGTTATAAGAACTAAAAAATTAAGTCATAAGAACAAAAAATAAGTTATAAGAACTAAATAAATAAGTTATAAGAACAAAAATTAAGTTATTTGAACTAGAAAAATTAAGTTATGAGAACTAGAAAAATTAAGTTGTGAATTAGAACTCTTAAGTCATAAGAACTAAAAATTAAGCTATGTAAAATAGAAAAATTTAGTTATAAAAAAAAATTGGCTATGTGAACCAAAAAAAATTAAGTTATGTGAACTAGAAAAATTAAGTCATAAAAACAAAAATATTTACCTATGTGAACTAGAAAAATTAAGTTATGAGAACTAAAAAACTAAGCTATGTGAACTAGAAAAATTAAGTTATGTGAACTATAAAAAATTGTTGCAGTAATTTAAAAAATTACGTTATGTGAACTATAAAATTTAGGTTATAGTTACTTGAAAAATTAAGTCCAAGCAACTAAAAAAAGGGGAAAAAATGCAAAAAAAAAAGTAAATAAGTGTAACGACTGGGGTGGAGTGACAGGAGACAACAGGAGGTAAGATCCAATATGCAGGTTTATTCAGCGTCAGGCAAGCAGTGGTCATACAGGTGCAAACGGGTATATGTGGACAATCCAGAATCGTAATCACAGTACAGGCAATAGGTCGTAAGGCAGGCGGCTAAACAGGATAACAGGGATACAAGGCTAAGGTCTAACACGGAGAAACAAGACAAGGAAACGCGTTGTAAAGTCACACTTGGGTAAACAAGACTCGGCAATCAGGGTGAGTGAATCAGTGGTTTGTATGGTATGTTATCAGTCTCTGACAGGGTTCAGCTGGTGAGTGCAATCAAGCAGATGAATGAGCATGGGTGTCTGGGAGCAGTGCATGTATGAAAATGTAGTCCTGGGAAATGCGGAAGTGTAGTCCTGGTGTTCGTGTGAGAACCAGCGATCGCTTTCCAGAGATCGCTGGTTCTCACACGAACACCAGGACTACGTTGCAGCCACTGTTTTGCATCGAGTTGTTTGCCTTCACGTCATGCATTTAAAATCCTTTAACTAATGTTAACTAATAAAGTTTTAATGTGTTATCCTTATATTTTGAGTTAAGTTAATTTTACGTTAAATGTTAAGATAAAATAATTTACATATTTCAAATAGAAATACGTTTTGAACATTACCTTAGTCTGAATATTACGGTTAATTTGACCATGTAAGATTAAGAGGCACAGTAATAAAGTCCTCTTTCAAACTGCTTTGTGAAAGTAAGGTTTTGAGCTCGGAATGTGAAATACTGTAAATGTTACAGGTTACTGCTGAGGGGTCAAGGGCTTAATGTAGTTTTCCCATTATTTCCCTTAGTATGTTGTAGGGCTTACAATATATCTCCAAAATTATCGTTATCATGATAATAATACAGTATATGCATTATACTTATTACAGACGTCTGTGATAAATTAAATTTAATGTATACATTGGTTGTTTATATAAATATAACCAATCAGATGGGTTGTTACTATCTTTAGCCCCGCCTCCCCAGTATTTGCTACTCTGCTATTGGTGGGAGCGTTGCAAAGCTGTGAGTGAAAATAAATACTTATGGCAGGAGTTTAGACAAGAGAGGAAAATGACCACAGCTAATCAGAGTCAGAATCTCTGTGGAGGTTTTCACTCATTTATAGTGTTTTAAAGACTACATGTTTGCATGTTGACACCTTTATTTACCATGAATTTAAAAAATAAATATATAAAACATATATTGTGGTTTACAAAAATAAACACTGCTTTTATTCTAGCCAAAATAAAACAAATAAGACTTTCTTCAGAAGAAAAAAACATTATAGGGTATACTGTAAAAAACTCCTTGCTCTTTTAAATATCTTTTAGGAAATATTTGTACAAGAAAGTAAAAAAATCACGGAAGGGCTAATAATTTTGACTTCAATTGGATTTTATTATTGTTAAATAAATAAATGATTTAAAAATATAGCTAATAAAATAGCATTTTTGTCTAGGAAAATGTTATATACTTAGAAATATCATTATCACAATGCTCAAACAACATTGCATATTTTTCCAGTATCATGCAGCCCTAGTCTGTTGTCACTTACTTATCATCATCACCACCATTCCCATTTCAGATTGCAGATGAATCAAAAGAGCACATTTACTTAACTGACTCCGTCATTTACTGCTGTCCATCCTTTCTGAACACCCCTCAAAGAGTCATATACAATATAAGCACACACACACAACCCCCTTCATAGCTACATGTGATAGAACAGTCTGTGGATGCTAAAAATATCCCATGGTGCAGCTGGGTTCATGCATTACTTATGGGAGTTGACTCTTCTTTCGCTATTTTCCCTCTTTTTTTTGCTTTGAAAATGCTCTTGAAAGAAGGGCTTGTTCAGTGGCTTTCCTCGTGAATCCGTACCGTTTACTGTCAGCGCTTAAGCGTGGGCCAATCTGGTGTCTATGGGATTATAATAAATATTTTTTGTGTTATCTCTTTGGAAATCTTTCCCCTTCAGGCGATGTGTTGAAATGAGCTTGAGCTGCTCATGTATCATAAGCAAAGCGCTCTCCATCCTGCGTAATCCCACTAGATTACACACTCTGCTCTCTTTCACACTCACGGCTTTAACTCACACTAATCAACTCGCTTGTCGGGATGTAAGAATGTGATGATCTTTCAGGATTTGTTGAACTGGTGTTTTTAAAACACCAAATGGCTTTCTTTGAGATTATGATTAATTATTAGGTAGATATTATTTTTAGGCATGCTCCTATCGGTCGGCCGGAGATCGGTATCGGCCGATAATCGCATTTAATGACTCAATCGGTACTCATGAACCGATCACAAGTGTTTGTTTATGAGTTTACAAGCAGAGGAAGATGCACATAAAACCTACATTGTGGGTTATACAGTTGAAGTTGTTATTTTTTCCCCCCAGTTTCTTTTTAGTGGAGAGAAGGTTTTTTCAACACATTTCTAAACATAATAGTTTTAATAACTCATTTCTAATAACTGATTTCTTTTATCTTTGCCATGATGACAGTACAAAATATTTGACTAGGTATTTTTATTTTTATTTTTTTTGCTTAAAGTGATATTTAAAGGTTTAACTAGGTTAATTAGGTTTAATAGGCAGGTTAGGGTAAGTAGACAAGTTATTGGATAACGATGGTTTGTTCTGTAGACTATCAGAAAAAAATTATCTTGAAGGGGCTAATAATTTTTACTTTAAAATGGTGTTTAAAAAAAATCAAAACTGCTTTTATTCTAGCCAAAATAAAACAAGTAAGACTTTCTCCAGAAGAAAAAATATTATCAGACATACTGTGAAAATTTCCTTGCTCTGTTAAACATAATTTAGGAAATATTTAAAAAAGAAAAAAAATCAAAGGGGGGCTAATAATTTTGACTTCGACTGTTTACTAGGGCTCCAAAATATATAATTTCCACATTGATATCGCAAAGTGTGTGTCCGCAAAGTGTGTGTTCGCATTCACATCGCAGGATTTGCAATGTTGAGTTGAGACTATAGTTGATCAACAGTTTAAATACATTTGAGATTTACAGAGTCTTGCAAAGTAAAACCATAACAGAGTAACTATCATTTACATGTGTTTAAAGGCTTTTCAAGAGAGTTTATAGCGTTTGGGCACAATAATGTACAACATTCATCCAATTTTCTTCAGCTTAGTCTCTTATTTATCAGGGGTCGCCACAGTGGAATGAACCGCCAACTATTCTGTCAAATGTTTTATGCAGCGCATGCCCATTCAACTGCAATCCAGCACTGGGAAACTCACATACACTCTCATATTCACACACATACACATACACTATGGCCAATTTTGTTTATTCAGTTCTATTATACCACAGGAAATCGGCGCATGCACGAACATGGTGACAACATGCAAACTCCACACAGAAATGCCAACTGACCCAACCTGGATTCAAACCAGCGACCTTCTTGCTGTGAAGCGAAAGTGACCGTACCACCATAATGTACATTTGTTACATTAATGAAGAATAATGTTACTGAGTTATTAATACAGTAAAGATTCAGTGTTATTTTACATTATTCAATTTCTGTACCTGGATACTGTTTGAATCTCTAAAGAACCATAAAGCACTGTTTATTTTACTTTTTCTCTCTGTTGTAATTATTCTTGCTTGCAATTTTTTTTATTATTTTTTAGACATCATTCCCACCCTATTCTAAATTAATTTATTTTTTTTCCCAAATAGAGATATTCAAGCCATGTGATGAAGCTGTATTGATATCGCAATATATATTGCAGAAAAACAAAATATCGCAATGTCGGATTTTTACAATATTGTGGAGCCCTATGTAAAATCATTTCAAAATGTCATGTTTTGGATAGTTTGTTGCCTCATGCTCACCAAGACTACAGTAAATATACAGTAAAACAAGAAAAATTCTCTGGATTACATTGAATTACCATTCAAAAATGTTGAATCAACAAGAACTTTTTAAATGTTTTTGAAAGATTTTATTAACGCTCCTCATTGTATATGGATTAAAAAACATAGTAAATTTGATCTTTTATTTTTGTTTAATGTAATGATTTATCATTTAATTCATTTTTAGGCATTGCATTTTTAAACATTTCACCAGAAAAGTCTCTACAAAGACAAGGTGTGTTCAATTCATACTGTTTGTGCTTTTGAACTAATCACATTCTCTCCTTTTTTTCAGGTGACATCACACAAAAGGGATATGAGAAGAAGAGGGCAAAAGTTTTAGCGCCCTACTTAGCCCAAGCGCAAGGTAAAGACTACAGAAGCATCTAAACCCACTTCCCTCCATCTTTCCTTCTGCCATATTATCTCTCTCTCCTTGTTTTTCCGAGTCCTCCACTGACTCATATGATAATGTGGTTATGAAACATCTTCTCATGCTGTTCCTCTTGAGGCTGAAGGGGTTCCAGAGTTCCTCTGCTCTGCCCTCTACTGCTCATCCATAGGACTGCAACATGAAAAAACACTTTTAATTAACTGTCAATCACTGTAATAAGGGAATATAGTATATAATGATGATTGTTGGTCTGAAGTCTTTATTATGATGAAGAGATATAAGTGGAGACTCCTCTTCTCATCTCTTTCCCGTTTCTATCATCTGTCTACTGCATTGATTGAAAGTGTCTGCAAATTTGGGTACTTAAGTGTGGAAGGATATAGCTGCAGCTCTCCCATCAGTATATTATCATTTTTGTGACACTGTACAGCAATAATTTCTAATTTTACTGTATTGTGAGGGGTAGGTGTTGGGTTGGGGTAGGGGTAGACTTTAATAAAAAACATTTTATTGGTAATTTAATAATTAATACAAATAAACTTCCAGCATGAGCTATATCCCTTATAGCAACAACCGCACATTTGGATATTCACACACTATTATTGACTCTGCAGATTTGGCTCCGCCTCCAGCCTATGATGAGCAGTCTCCTGGTCCAAGCTCCGCCTCTGCTCCTGAACCCGGCCCGTCAAACTCGTCGTCCTCCTCTTCTCGTCATCGGCGCACTCGGAGACCACACCGGAGCGGCGGCACTAGAGATGAGCGCTACCGATCAGGTTAGATGACACATTACATGCTTTGTTTATGTGTTCTTAACGTTTTTGTCTCATGTAAATTAAAGTGCTGTGTATTTGCCACAGAATTTTGATATTAGTGCCGCACCATTATTGCCAAAAATTGAAACCAAACATTATTTAAAAACTTTTTTTTTTAGTTACTTAGATTATGGTTGGTGTTTTGTCATTTTTAATGTGCATACATCTCCTGGATGTCTGATTTTTCTCATGGATGGCTGAGCAAAATTCAAAAATCACAGAAAAACATTTATAAGGTTTGTTCTAGGGGTTCATCATTTTAGTAGTGTTGAGGTTTCCCATTTGAAGTGCCTTGATTGGGTATCTATAACATAGATTTGAAGACATTAAAATTAAAAGTGGTACATAAGATTGTGAATAATAATGCATATGTAAGGGGCCAATCACACCGAACACCTTTTTTCATTCTAAGAACCTGAGGCACACCGAAGTGCGCTGCTTTTTTCATATCACTAGGCAATGACTGTAATTTTTTATAATATTATAATATTTAATATTTGTGAATTTTCAACATTTACAAAGATCAAAATAAATAAACAAAGCACACAGGATAGGAAAATAAAGCACACTCAGAGAAAAAAAGAAAAAGAAAAAAAAGAGCAGCTATACAGTTGAAGACAGAATTGGCCCCCCTGTTTATTTTTCCCCCAGTCTCTGTTTAATAGACACAAGACAAACAAGAAATGGAAACAGCACATTTCTAATCATAATAGTTTAATAACTCATTTCTAATAACTGATTTATTTTATCTTTGCCATGATGACAGTAAATAATATTTCACTAGATCTTTTTCAAGACACTTCTATACAGCTTATAGTGACATTTAAGGGCTTAACTAGGTTAATTAGGTTAACTAGGCAGGTTAGGATAATGAGGCAAGTCATTGTATAATGATAGTTTGTTCTCTAGACTATCGAAAAAAAATAAAAAGGGGCTTAAAGGGGCTAATAATTTTGACCTTAAAATAAATTTAAAAAAATTAAAAACTGCTTTTTAAATAATAAATAAATAAACATATTCAAGAACAACTCCATCGTGATATTGAAGGGGCTTTTTCCGTTATCCAGTTTTATAAAATACATTTTACTAATTCTGTTTTTTATATATTTACACTTCAGAAAAACAGCCTGTATAAACACATTCATTGACATTCTCCCTTTGTATGTGTCTTCAGAAGGGGAAAGCCCCGCCCATTAATGACGATTTCTCCCTCATTAGTATAGACAGCCCTGAGTGAGAAGCGGCCATCCACCATTAGAATTTTCGCACCATACATGCTGAAAAAAATGTCAGTAATTAGGAGGCATCAGAAGTGATGAGTTTTAGAATGCTTTTTTTGAGACACTTCTTTTGACATTATTGACTTTTTCTGTTTTTTACAGAGATAATGTTAGTCCTGTTTTAAATCTGCCGCTTTATGCTGACACATTTATAGCTCTGCCCTCTTTTGAAAAAAGCATCTCGTTTGAATTTAAAGGGCCATGAAACCCCCTCGTTTCAGCAGGGTGTTTTCACACCTCTACTTTGTGGGCGTGTCCTGTGGGCGTGTCCAGCTCTGTTTAGGCGAGAGTGTCGGAGGAACAAAAGAGGCTTGGTGTGGGAGTGTCTATTTGGGTGCGCTGAATTTCAGAGTCAAAACACACAACCACAGCGGACAATGTGACTGTGTTTACATGGACATCTGTAGTCGAATTATTTGCCAGATTATTAAATGGTGGACTTTAACAGCAGTTTGGCTCTTTCATTCAGGGAATTCATTCATGTCCCTCCCGACAAACGTGATATTTGATTCGAGGAGCTGCTCTAAGCGTGTATTTTTAATGCAATGTTTGATACCGCACGGCGAATGAGAGAAAAAAAACTCAGCATTTCCCGGAAACTTAGATGCACACGGCAGGTAGCGTCAGAAAGCCGCGTGTGTTATTCCTGTCACAAAATCCAACACGAGGTTATAGTTTGGTTGTAACTGTTAGTGCTAACTTGTTTACACTCGTTGCAATAGTTTGTTTGATACGAATAAAATACGAACTGAATAAACAAAGAGCACTGGTCGCTCACTTACCAAATCTGTAGAGACAGGACAATCACCAGCAACTAGAGCCGCGTCTTTATTTAGAGGAGACTACAAGCGAATCCGGATCTCAGCGTTTGCAGATGAGAACAGCTCTCAGGTAAACAATAATCCTCCTTGGACACGTAAGTTATTGTTGTCGCGCGTCGCGTACACTGTAATCCACACGTGACTCTGAGCTCTCACAGAGAGAAAATGAAAACGAAACTAAACGGCAGCAAACTATAAAAGCAACACTTCACGCTTGTTTTGCCAACACAACGTGGCGTCTCTGCCATCTACACTCTGACAGTAATGAATATTAATGAAGTTGCACAATAGAGCGCGCTGATTGGTTTGAACCAAGCCTTACTCATGCATTAATGCAACACACTGTAAGACGTTATAAGACTCACTCTGGCACAGACGTCCAGTCTGCACGCTGGAATACAGGCTATTATGTCATGGCCGTGACGCAGCTTCAAAAATTCGTTTCAAACCGGAAATACGAATTTGCTTGAAATAACGCAAAAACAACCAATTTACACTTTTTAGTGAAATATAGGTGTCTTAATAGTGTTTTTAGCAGTGTGGGACACATATATGACTGTCAACAGCTCAAAAAATGTGTTTTGGTGTTTCGTGACCCTTTAAAGCAACAGTCGCCAAAATGGCACAGTTTAGATCAAAACCTAAAAGTTGCAGTTTCAAAGAGTTATAAAACATTTTTTTTGGGGTATGATGAGCTAAAACTTCACATTCACACTCTAGGGTCGTCAGAGACTTAGTTAACATCTTATAATAATAGGTCCCTTTTAAACAGACTAGTGTTTTAATGGATTTTGCTGTATGTTTAATGGCTATTTGTGACTGTAGAAAGTTACAAATAAAGTTATAATTTATGTATTGTAGTTATAATGCAGTGTCTGTGTACCTGTTACCGGAAGTAGTCTACTATCTGTACATTACATTAAGGACCAAAACGGAAACAGGATTTGTTTTTAAAATTTTATTGTGTTTATTCTTAAACAATTAAGTGTATTCGTTTTTTTTCTGTCAAATAAATACATTTCTGTTTCAGCTGAAACGTTTGGAAGCTGAAATTTTGGTGCATCTCAAAAAAATATACAGGCCTCGTTCTTCCATTGATCGGACAAACAGGGAGTCTCAAATGAATGCTAGAAGCTGCAAGTTTATATGCAGGATTGATCAGACAGACTGCAATGTTTATAAAGTTTAACAGTCCTTTCGTTACTTTGAGAAGTCAGTCTTCATGTTGTTTACTTCTGGTGGTTTTAGCATTTAAAACCAGTACAGAAATAAATAGCACACTTCACCTTAAAAACTGGGTTAATTTGCTTTTTGCTTGAGATTTATGGGCTGCAAGGATTACAGAGTGTCTGCAGATGGTAATATTTGCCTGTTCTCTGACCACATTCTTGTAAGAACTGTTTAGTCATCTGCCATGGCAGTCGTACATGGACAAAATGGTCGCCTTAATGAAATGTGTCACTGTGGATTTCTGCTGCTTTGTGGTAAGAGAACGATGGCAGCTTACTTATTTGGTTGTAGGTTGTTTGTTCGGTTGCTTGCCTCCGATGTGATTCTATATTTTACTGTCCTGCTGTTGTCAGAGCAGTCCTGTGGATTCAGTCAGTTCATTTCACACCCTCATTTATTTTCATGGCCTTAATATACAAACATCAAAGGGAAAGTTTACCCAAAGCTCAACATTCTGTCATCATTTGCTCACACTTGAACACAAAAAAAGGATATTTAGAAAAATATAGAAACTGGTAACCATTGACTTCTATTGAATTTGTTAGTTTGCTTGACTGAGTCAATTTTTACCATTTTCCAACATTCTTCAAAATATCTTTTTTTGTGTTTACCAGAAAAAGAATCTCATAAAGGTTTGGAACCATTTGAGGGTGACTAAATAGTGAGTACTATTATAGTATAACAGAATAGTGCAGTATTATATATAACAACATTAATAGTGAGTTCTGTTAAATACTATTCCTTTAATAGAACTCTGGCTGGTGACTGCTACTGGATAAGAAGCTTTTCTTATGATGAAAGGGTACTGATTTTAATGGAGGTGAAGTCAATGTTAATGGGATTCCAGTTAGTCTTCCATTCTAAAGCAAAGCATTTAACCCTGTAGTAACTGCTAACATCTCACTAACTGCAGAGGTCCTAGGATAAAACGATCTGTTTTTTCTTGTTTATTTTTGTCAGATATCCACACTGAGGCAGTTCAGGCAGCGCTGGCCAAGCATAAAGAGGAAAAGATGGCACTGCCAATGCCAACTAAACGTCGCTCCACATATGTGCAATCCCCAATTGACAACTGCACTCCACCAGGTAATATCTAGAAGCACCACATAAACCTTTACACTTGTAATATACTCCACAAATACAGATAAACTTACAGAACTACACCACTAAATCATATGATTAACAGCAATCTTATTTTTATTAAATTTTTTAAATTATTTTGTCATTGTTAATGTACATGTTAATATTTTATTATAAAATTAAAAACATTTTTATTTTATCTATATTATATATTCCATATTTTCTATAGAATTAAGTATGCATATATTAATAAGAACCAAATTATATAATTAAGTATGCATATATTAATAATAACCACATTATAGAATTAAGTATGCATATATTAATAATAAACAAATTTATTTCAATTTAATTATTACATTTTATTCATTTATTTAATTATTTAATTAATTTAATGAATAAGAAAATAATAATTTTAATTATTTACTTTATTGTTATATGTTTTTTTTATTTGTTTTTATTTGTATGTGTTTATATTTCATGTTTATACATTAACAATTACATTTAAGCCTAACTAAATCTTAAATAGTAAATACAATTAAATTAAGAAAATATATAATTTTTAGTATATTAAACTGGTAGCAACAATCATTGGTAACACTTTACAATAAGGTTGTGTTATTTAAAATTTGTTCATGTATTTGCTAACATAAACAAACAATGAACAATACATTCATTACAGTATTTGTTTACGTTAGTTAATGAAAATGATGTCACTCATTGTTGGTTTGTTACCTCATGGTGCATTAACTATTGTTAACAAGCATGAATTTGTATTTTAATAAAGCATGACTAAATGTTGAACTATGATTAATAATTTGTATATGCATTGTTCATAATTAGTTCATGTTTGTACACATTATCTAATGAAACCTTAGTGTAAAATGTGACTCAATCATTACTGATAATGATATCAAACATTAGCTTAATATTTTAGTATTGTGATGACCACATTTAGCATTGCTTGGAGAACTGTGATTGTGTTTCAATAATTTTCCTCCAGTAATAATTAAAAAATTTTGCTCTCTGTCAGACTCGTCCTCTTCGTCTGATGATGAGGCGGTGTCCAGTGAAAGTGCAGGCCCTCAGCAGTCCTCAGACACTTGGATTAACAGCTCTCTGCACGGCTCTTCCACCTCCTCCTCTGCCTCCTCTACGCTCTCACATGGCGAATCTCGACCCACCCAGAACCCTCAGCCTCAGTCCCAGCAGCTGCCACCTCCACCCGCTCCTGCCCACCCTCCACACTCACACTCGCAACCCTCCGCCCTGGCAGAGGCCTTCGCCCAGACACGCATTGGTGAGCCATGCTTGACCCTAACATCTTTATCACTGTATATCATTTTATGCACATGACTGCTGGGTTTCCAATTATGGGTCACACTTTCAGTTTGGAAGTTCAATTCGATAATACTAAAAGAAATCATTTCTGTGTAAAACATAAGACTGTGTTAACACAAATAATCCATATGCTCAGTGATATTTGGGTGAAAAGTATATTGGACTTTGTGTTTTATTTTTGATTTTGTTCATCCTAGTACCCAGCAGGCACACGACGTCTGCATGACGTCAGATTAAAGTTGTACCCCAACGTCGTGGGGACGTTGCATTTTGTTTGGAAATGAAAATCAGGTAGACATCAGAACTTAATGTCAACAATCATTGCTAACATTTTATTGGGAACACTTAAGATTTTGATTGCTATACCTGACGAATAAATGTCAGTATTTGATGTCTTTAGGACGTTGGTTTAAGATGCTGGCTCAACGTTGGAATTTGGTCACTTTCCAACATAACCCAAAGTCAACCAAATATCAACATAATTTGATGTCGTTATTGGACGTCAAAATTACATTGTCCTAAGACACAGGCTAGACATTGAATTTTGGTCACCTCAGGTCACAACCTAAATCTGACCTAAAATTAACTTCTTATGACATTGTGTGCCTGCTAGGTAGCCTTTAAAAATTAGATGTATTAACTGTGTGGAGAAAAATGGCACCACATTGCATGCCAAAACAACATGTCAAAAATGCAGGTTTATTTAATGTCAAAACCTTGACGTCCATTTGACGTCCTCACACTGATGCCCTAATTGCATTCAAATAATGACAGCAAAACTATTGTAACATAAGAAATTTTTATTAATCCAAAAGCTTAAAATCTAAATTTATACCGGATTTTTTGTATCTCTACAATGCATGCAAATACTGTGATGTCAAAATGATGTCAAATTTACATTTTACATTGGTAGACTCTAAGAAATGTTGGGTTATTTAAAGGGCCATGAAACCCCCTCGTTTCAGCAGGGTGTTTTCACACCTCTACTTTCGAAAAAGTCAGAAAAGTGGGCGTGTCCAGCTCTGTTTAGGGGGGAGTGTCGGAGGAACTAAAGTGGGATGGTGTGGGAGTGTCTATTTGTGCACGCGCGAGTTTCAGAGTCAAAATACACACCCACACAGACAGGAGAAAGCGATGGTGTTTAACCTACATGGACATCTGTAGTCGAATTATTTGCTGAATTAATAAATGTTGGACTTTAACTGCAGTTTGGCTCTTTCATTCAGGGAATTCATTCATGCCCCTCGCGACAAACGAGGTATTTGATTCGAGGAACTGCTCTAAGCGTGTATTTTTCATGCAATGTTTGATACCGCACGGCGAATGAGAGAAAAAAAAAACTCCGCATTTCCCAGAAACTTAGATGCACACGGCAGGTAGCGTCAGAAAGCCGCGTGTGTTATTCCGGTCACTAAATGCGGTGCTAACATTTCTGCACTCAGTGCTATAGTTAACTTAATTCGATACGAGCAAACTGAATAAACAAAGAGCACTGGTCGCTCACTTACCAAATCTGTAGAGACAGGACAATCACCAGCAACTAGAGCCGCGTCTTTATGGAGAGAATACTACAAGCGAATCCAGATTTCAGCGTTTGCAGATGAGAACAGCTCTCAGGTAAACAATAATCCTCCTTAGACACGTAAGTTATTGTTGTCGAGCGTCGCGTACACTGTTAATCCACACGTGATCCAGATGAGCTCTCACAGAGAGAAAATGAAAACGAAACTTAACGGCAGCAAACTATAAAAGCAACACTTCACGCTTGTTTTGCCAACACAACGTGGCGTCTTTGTGGTGTAAACACGGTGACACAAATGAATATTAATGAAGTTGCACAATAGAGCGCGCTGATTGGTTTGAACCAAGCCTTACTCATGCATTAATGTATCATACTGTAAGACGTAATAAGACACACTCTGGCACAGACGTCCAGTCTGCACGCTGGAATACACGCTATTATGTCATGACCGTGACGCAGCTTCAAAAATTCGTTTCAAACAGGAAGTACGAATTTGCTTGAAATAACGCAAAAACAACCAATTTACACTTTTTAGTGAAATATAGGTGTCCTAATAGTGTTTTTAGCAGTGTGGGACACATATACGACTGTCAAAAGCTCAAAAAATGTGTTTTGGTGTTTCGTGACCCTTTAAAAGGGCCATGAAACCCCCTCGTTTCAGCAGGGTGTTTTCACACCTCTACTTTCGAAAAAGTCAGAAAAGTGGGCGTGTCCAGCTCTGTTTAGGGGGGAGTGTCGGAGGAACTAAAGTGGGATGGTGTGGGAGTGTCTATTTGTGCACGCGCGAGTTTCAGAGTCAAAATACACACCCACACAGACAGGAGAAAGCGATGGTGTTTAACCTACATGGACATCTGTAGTCGAATTATTTGCTGAATTAATAAATGTTGGACTTTAACTGCAGTTTGGCTCTTTCATTCAGGGAATTCATTCATGCCCCTCGCGACAAACGAGGTATTTGATTCGAGGAACTGCTCTAAGCGTGTATTTTTCATGCAATGTTTGATACCGCACGGCGAATGAGAGAAAAAAAAAACTCCGCATTTCCCAGAAACTTAGATGCACACGGCAGGTAGCGTCAGAAAGCCGCGTGTGTTATTCCGGTCACTAAATGCGGTGCTAACATTTCTGCACTCAGTGCTATAGTTAACTTAATTCGATACGAGCAAACTGAATAAACAAAGAGCACTGGTCGCTCACTTACCAAATCTGTAGAGACAGGACAATCACCAGCAACTAGAGCCGCGTCTTTATGGAGAGAATACTACAAGCGAATCCAGATTTCAGCGTTTGCAGATGAGAACAGCTCTCAGGTAAACAATAATCCTCCTTAGACACGTAAGTTATTGTTGTCGAGCGTCGCGTACACTGTTAATCCACACGTGATCCAGATGAGCTCTCACAGAGAGAAAATGAAAACGAAACTTAACGGCAGCAAACTATAAAAGCAACACTTCACGCTTGTTTTGCCAACACAACGTGGCGTCTTTGTGGTGTAAACACGGTGACACAAATGAATATTAATGAAGTTGCACAATAGAGCGCGCTGATTGGTTTGAACCAAGCCTTACTCATGCATTAATGTATCATACTGTAAGACGTAATAAGACACACTCTGGCACAGACGTCCAGTCTGCACGCTGGAATACACGCTATTATGTCATGACCGTGACGCAGCTTCAAAAATTCGTTTCAAACAGGAAGTACGAATTTGCTTGAAATAACGCAAAAACAACCAATTTACACTTTTTAGTGAAATATAGGTGTCCTAATAGTGTTTTTAGCAGTGTGGGACACATATACGACTGTCAAAAGCTCAAAAAATGTGTTTTGGTGTTTCGTGACCCTTTAAACCTAAATTGGGCCAATTATGGACTAACCCATACTAGGGCTGGGCGATTTGGCCTAAAACCAAAATCTCAGTTAATTAAACATTCTAACTCAATAACGTTTAATGAATGATTATTTTATTTATTTATTTTATTTTTTTGAATGAAGGTTGTAATACTTGATTTTAAAATAATTAAAGGAAACACACACTATCTACTATCTATGATTATTTATTGAACATCAGCATTGAACAACTGAAATTAAAACCCACATTGTCTAAAACCAACAGTCAAATTTTTTTTAATAAAATTGTAATGTAACAAAATAAATTATTTTCAATGTTTTTCATATTAAAAGTAGAAAATAAGCAGTATCTCTTTTGAATAAAATACCTATTGTATATCCTGTAAATAAAATTTAACAGTGCATTCCTCCTTAAACAAATATTTTAATGTAAATAAAAATTTTAATGTAATGGAATATATGCCCCCTCAAGGCATGTCTGGTGCAGCTTCCAATCTTCATCAACGAAGTGCAAAGCTAGGCTCAAGAATGGATCCATCGTCCTACTTGACCAGAGATCATATGTGGCTGTGCCGGACCATATTTGTGTGCCCGACACAGAGTTATAAATCAGCCTTAATAGAGTGAGGTTACGTAACTTCACACGCGATGGGGAAAGTAATCTAAAAAATCGACCTTGAAAATTTAGATTGATTATAGTTTCTGAATATTGATTTCAATTACTTTTCCATTTATTGCCCAGCCCTAACCAAGACATTGGGTTAAATTTAGACCTATTAATTTGATTAAAATAAAATAATATTAATTACAAATTTTAATTAAAAAATGTAACCCAGCAGTTGGGTTAGTCCATATTACAGCCAGAACTGGGTTGAAAAAACCCAACATTTTTTAGAGTGAAAACACATCAAACATCGATTACAGGACTGTCACGGCCCAGCATTAAACTTCCTTAAACTGTGTTACACCCATAATTTATGCACAGCATCATGGGACATGTGAATACACATTTATTCATTTGTAAAATTTGGTTTCAAGTTTTCCTTTTTAATTATTGCTTAACCAGACATTTTTTGCAAGTGCTTTCTTTGCTTAATTCTTTATCTTTTATGTTTTTTTCTGCCATATGTTTATTTTCTGTTCATCATTTGTGACTGTCAGTGCGAAGGATAGGAAGAGGTAAAACTGAGTGTTAATAATCTTTCACCGTGCCCTGTGTGTCTAAGATTTGCTGTGATTTATGAATATTATCACATGCCCCAGCATCAATCCTCTGCTCCACCTTTGTGTTTAAAGCATATGAATGATTGGTCCATCCATACAAGCTGAAGAAAAATGACTAAAGCTTTATAGTGATGCGGTTGAGCTTGTAATGTGGTTCAGGACTGATCATCCATACCTTAATCCACATCTGATCCCAGACTGTTTATTTATAGAGTGTGTTTTCCTGCATATAACATATACCCTGAGTGTGTGTAACATGTCAACAGGTGTAGGCAAAAACTGTAGACAGTAGGGGTGTAAAGATGCACACAAAAAATACAGCTTGGTGCAGTCTTAAGCTTGGTAAAGCCTAGTAAAAGTTGGACACCAGACGCAGTTGAATGCAGGCCAATACCTATTTTAACATTGATTTTTATACATTTCTAAGTTATGCTAATAGATGCGCAATGGTGATGTCGGCATGGGTACCCTCATAGAAAACAGTTGTAATGGAGGCCAGCTAGCGAAGTGCTTTGCAGGTAAACCTCACTCCTCTGACCTCAAAAAATGCGACAGATGCTAGAGGCCATTGTCTGTAGCCTCTTGTTAGAGCAACACACTTACATACAAAGAATCGCCAGGTTCGAACCCAGTTCAGAATGGGATAGGTGCAGTAAGCATGGTGGGTTACACGTGGGGACTTGTCCGGGATGGGAGTGAGGTTTAGGGGGGTGAGTGTAATGGAGGCCAGCTGAAGTGCTATGCAGTTAAACCTCAATATTCTGAATTCAAAAGGTACTCTAATGACAGACGGTAGAGGCAATGGTCTTTAGCTTCCTTGGTACAGCAACCAACTTCCATACAATGAATCGTCGTTTCGATCCCAGCTCAGAATGGGATGGGTAGAGTAAGCATGGTGTGTTACATGTGGGGGCTCGTCCGGGATGGGAATGAGGTTTAGGGGGATGAGTGTAATGGAGGCAAGAGAGTGAAGTCCTATGCAGGTAAACCTCACTGCTCTGACGTTAAAAGGTGCTCTAGCCCTAAAGGCCATGGTCTTTAGTTTTCTTGATGAAGCAACCGACTCCCATAAAAAAATCGCTGGTTCGATCCCAGCTCAGACCATGTAGTAGGACCGGTGGGTTACACAAAGGTTCGAATTCTAAAAGGCATGCTGTGGCATGGCACTTCATGCTTGATGTATAATGGGTTTTAATTTAGTCCATTTTAGGGAAAAAAAGTGAAATTCTTTATCAAATAGTAGTATATTGAATAGGTTAAAGATCTGTCTTTAATTACACTACTGTGTCAAGAAGGATATCTCTGCAAACGGTATAAATGAAACAGACAGCCCTATTGCAATATTTGAACATTTCATTTTGTTATTTTAGGCTAATATAACAGAAATATTTACAGGAATACTCGTCTATTTAAGTTAATTTAGTAATTTAATAAATCCAGGCATTATTGCTTGAATATCATAATGAAATGTATGGCATTTTAAATTGAATAATTTGTTTTTTATTAAAAGCAACAAAGCAAAAAACGTCTTGTCCTCATTGGGGATGATGTTTGCTAGTCAAATTTCATCCACACATCAGCTGAAGACATCAGCTGTCTTCCATTGACCTTGAGATTAAAATGAACAAGCATGCGAAGAGACGTTTTAGACGAATCTCTACTCACACAGGGGTTTAAACCTCAATGTCTTTGTTTTGATCTCATGTATACCCACATTTGTTTAAAATGCAGACTCTTGGTCATGTGAAAATATCCCCAAATTGTTTGTGCATAGAAAATTCACACATACAATTGATGTCGCATGGTTATTCCATTTTCTTTTGGACTTATACAGTTGTTCGTTGCACACAATCAATAGTGTGTTTGACAGCAAAGTTGAGAAATATTATTGAAGAAACCATTGAACCAATGAACCATTATTTCAGTCTTGAGTGCCACATGATCCTTCTGAAATCAGTGTAATATCCTGATTTAGTGTTAAATAAACATTTCGTATCATTCAGTTTAAAACAGTTGTGCTGCTTAATACTTTTGTAGAAAAATTTAATATTTTATCATCTTGGAAAAAGATGAAACTTTGAAGAATATCATTTATATTTTAAGTCTTTTCTATAGGTTGTACTGAATCTTTTGCCTAATAAACAAACAACTCTTAGAGACTAAGGCTACCTAAATCTTAAATGAGAGTCAATTATACCATTTTGATGACATTAAACCGATTTTTTTTGTTGAACAAGCTGGGGTAAAGCGGTCATGAACCAATTATACATCCAAAAACATCATTTGTAAGTAATAGACTATTCCTGTCCTGTTTGGATCTCATCATCTGAACACACAGTATGAATAGTCATGCCAGATTGTAGGCTCAGAAGTAAAATGCCTACTGGTATTATGATGTTGTCAAGGGAATTTTGATTTGACAGTTCATGACCCCTTTAAAGATTTGATGATGGGATTCGAGTGATTAATCTGTGTTCTTTTGGAGCAGATCCAGTTGGAGGAGTCGGGCCTCCTGAAGTGCCATCACAAGCCCAGGCCAGAGGCTCTCGTGTGGATCTGCCGGCCAATGCTGTGGTGCGAGGCATGAGTCGAGGACAGAGCCGCTCCAGCATGATGGAGACAGCAGACGGTACTGAGGGAGAGTGTGTGTGTGTGTGTTAACTGGTTTTAGACAAACTGGTTTAATGACGTTGGTATGACCGAGGTATCACAAAGTTGAGGTGGTTTATGAGGACAGGTCCTGTGAAGGCCTTTGAATTATGCACTTTTTGTGGATGTTTGATGATTTCTAAACTGAAAAATGAAGAGAGAGTGGGACATAGTGTAGCTCCTCCCCTTTAAAAAAAAACAGCCTATAGTGTTTTTGTTTTATCACCACTCTGCCAGTGAGAGTGGTTGAGCTCAATCACATCAAATGTAGAGTCTTAAAGGGGAGGGGCATGTCAGATACCAGAGAGCATTTGATTGGTCACAATTTAATGAAGATCTAAATTATGAGGTGACGTAAATAAAACCGTTGATTCCTTTAGGCGACATTGACAAACTACAAGCTTTACATGTTTATATGAGTTTTATATCTCGTAATAAACACAAATTTTGTCACTGTTTTGGTGCACACTAGCTTATAGATATCCTAAAAATTAACAATACTAATACTAAAATCCAAAAAACTTTATTTTAATTTCATCAGAGCTTTAAAAATCATACTTAAAGGAATAGTTTACCTGATAAAAATGAAAGTTACTAAATAATTTACTTACATTCAAGCTATCAAGCTATTTATGTGCAGTCAGAATTATTAGCCTCCCTTCAATTTTTTTTTCTTTTTTAAATATTTCCCAAATGATGTTAAACAGAGCCAGGAAATTTATACAGTATGTCTGATAATATTTTTTCTTCTTAAGAAAGTCTTATTTTGTTTTATTCCAGCTAGAATAAAAGCAGTTTTTCACTTAAAAAAAAACATTTTAGGGTCAAAATTATTTGCCCCTTTAAGCTATTTCTTTTTTTGATAGTCTACAGAACAAACCATCGTTATACAATAACTTGCCTATTTACCCTAACCTGCTTAGTTAACCTAATTAATCTAGTTAAGCCTTAAATGTACCTTTAATCTGTATAGAAGTGTCTTGAAAAATATCTAGTCAAATATCATTTACTAACATCATGGTAAAGATAAAAGAAATCAGTTATTAGAAATGAGTTGTTAAGATTATTATGTTTAGAAATGTGTTGAAAAAATCTTCTCTGTGTTAAACAGAAATTGGGGAAAAAAATAAACAAGGGGCCAAAAATTCTGGGGGCTAATAAATCTGACTTCAGCTGTGTAGGGCTTTCTTCTTTAAAAATGAACACAGTCAAAGTAGTTGTACATTTTAGCCTACCTTCTTCCATGCTGTATAATTGTTATGCTTAAAAGCCATAAGGAAGGATGAGGAAACGACAGAAAAACCTTTTAGATATTTAATGAACTAACTGGAGGCACAACTAAAGACGTTCAGAATGGATGGTAATCCTGTGAGCTGTGTTTATATGCATATGTGTCTTATTTCAGGTGTCATATGTCGTATATTTCAGTTGCGCATAACTTACATTCGTAACATTTAACAAGTCAGTGATTTAAGTTTATAATTTAAAAATGAGAACTATATATTTTTCAAAAACACATCAATCTGCTTCATAAAACATGCATTAACACTCTGGGTATGGATTTATGTGCTTTTAGAAAGCTTCAAAATAAAAGTCACTGCTCAACATTGTTATTTAGGATGCAAGAGCCAGAGGTATAGGGTAATTTATATTATTTGGGTGAACTATTACTTTAAGGAGTCTTTTGACATTGAAAGTTTGTCACAATTTTTTTCTGCGGGGGTTGGTTTAAGGTAGGGGTTCCCAAACTTGGTCCTGGAAGGCCGGTGTCCTGCATATATTAGTTCTAACCCCAATTAAACACACCTGAACTAATCAAGCTCTTCCTATGCATACTAGAAACTTCCAGGGAGGCGTGTTGAAGGACGTTGGATCTAAACTATGCAGGACACCGGCCCTCCAGGACCGAGTGTGGACACCCCTGGCTTAAGGGGTAGGGTTATAGTAGGGTAAAAATAATTAGCAGGTTTTCTCAAGGGCTGCACAATATATCTTTTCAGCATCTGTATTGCAATGTGATGCAAAGATACATTTTCTTGAAATTAGTAAAACAATTAAGACTGTGTTCAGTGTAATTTTGCATTTGATTATTAAGGTTTACTACCTGAATACTGTTAGATTCTCCAGAAAACTAAAATCGCAGGTTATTTCACTTTTATCTTTGCTCTTTTATATCTAACTTTGCTTTATTTTTTAAATAATATTTATTGCACAATTCACTACCATACAGAATCATTGCCAGTCATTTTAAATGAACAACTTCTTTCCGAACAGAGCTTTTCAAGTTATCTGCTGAAAATATATTCAGGTCACAATACATATTGCAGAAATCTAAATATGGCAATAGCAGATTTTTCCAGTATCATGCAACCCTAGTGTTTACGTTATAAATTACATTACGCTTATGGAGTGTCCTCATAAACTACCAAAACCAACCAAATGAGTGTGTGTGTGCACAGGAGTTAAAAAGAAAACATATGTTTGTAGTGTGCTGCATTAGACATACATACTGTACTTTCAAAATGTATGTCCTTTTCATAACTTTCATGCTTCAGAACTTTGTGTTAACATCTCAGTAGAAACATGTATAAAGTCTTACTGAATGCTGTGTTGGATTGCTTCATTAATCGCATCCCGTTTCTTTTTTCTTTTCTACCTTTTATCCACTTGTGTCATGTTGCTTTTCTCTGTCAGTGAGAAGAGTAGGCAGAGGTAATGATTGGTCTTTTGTCCCATAGGTAGCCTTTAATCCTGTGTGTTCGTGGTTGTATTTCGTGTTTGTTACACAGAGAGTGTGTGGACCAAAGCGAAACCCTGCACTTCTTTTAGGAATAAAGACTAATAGATCACTCATCCCTCCATCTCTGCTTACATGTGGTATTAACTCAGGCCTGATACTTTGTAACACATCAAAGCTGCCTTATTTATAAACCAGTCTGATCATTAAATTAATAATTCAAATTTTTCCATGATCTATAGTTATTCACTCTTTTATTTATTAATTTTTTAAATATATATGAAATCTAAAAAACATTGGTGTAAAACTTAAAAATGCACAACTGTTAAATGTTTGGAGTCTGAAAGATTTATTTTGCTCATCAAGGCTGTATTGATTTGATTGAAAATGCAGTATATCAAACCGTTTCACTTTTTAAAAATTTGAAAAATAGATTTTTAAATAAATATATTTTAAAACTCATTTGAATTTTCAGCATCACTTGATCTTTCAGAAATTATTGAAATATGCTAAATTGGTGCTCAATGAATATTTACTGTTATTATCAATACTGAAAATGGTTGAAATCAAGTAAAAATATATAAAAAGTCATAAAAAAATCATCACACTTTCCAATGCAAATAAATATGTACATATTTGCTGGCGGCTAGCTCTATGCAACTCTCACATGTTAGTCCGCTAAAGCTAAGCAGGGATGTGCCCGGTTAGTATCTGGATGCGAGACCACATTTCGAAAGCTAGGTTGCTGCTGGTAGTGGTGTCAGTGAGACCAGCAGGGGCGCTCAACCTGCAGTCTGTGTGCGTTCTAATGCCCCAGTATATTGAAAGAGACTCTATACTGCTCAGTAAGTGCCGTCTTTCAGATGAGACATTAAATCAAGGTCCTGACTCTATGTGGTCATTAAAAATTCCTGGATGTTCTTTGAAAGAAGAGTAGGGGGTTAATTTTGTAAGTAGGGCCAAATTTTGCCTACTGGTCTCTGTCCATCATGGCCTCCTAACCATCCTCATATTATAATTGGCTTCATCACTCTACTCTCCTCCAATAAGCTGGTGTGTTGTATGTGCAATATGGCTGTTGCCCACTGGTGGTGAATGAGGAGAATGAAGCACTTTGAGTGTCCAGAAAAAGTGCTAAATAAATGTAAGGAATTATTATTATTATTATTATTATTATTATTATTATTATTATTATTATTATTAACAATATTATCCTTATTACTATTATCATTATTATCATTATTATTATCAATATTATTATTATTATTATCATCATTATTATTATTATTATTATTATCATTATTATTATCAATATTATTATTATTATTATCATCATTATTATTATCATTATTATTATCAATATTATTATTATTATTATTATTATTATTATTATTAAATAAAATGTTCAGTATTGCTGGTTCGAGCCTCGTTTGGCTCAGTTGGCGTTTCTGTGTGGAGTTTACATGTTCTCCCTGCGTTCTCATCGGTTTCCTTCGGGTGCTCCGGTTTCCCCCACAGTCCAAAGACTTGTGGTACAGGTGAATTGGGTTGGCCAAATTGTGTTTGGATGTTTCCCAGTGTTGGGTTGCGGCTGGAAGGGCATCCGCTGCGTAAAACAGATGCTGGATAAGTTTGCGGTTTATTTCGCTGTGGCGACCCCAGATTAATAAAGGGACTAAGCTGAAAAGAAAATGAATGAAAAAGTTCAGTAACAGCACATTTTATTTACAATAGACTTTTGTATCGCTAAAAGTCTTTATCGTCACAATTTAATAAATCCTTGCTTTAAATCTTACTGACCTCAAACTTTTGATTTGTTGTGTTTGTATGATTTTAGGTTTAATTATTTGCATTTTTATGCTATAGCTGGCCATCTTGGGTCCAGGACTGATAAATACCACTGTAGGAGAGTCTGATACATTTAAATACATTCATACTTCCGCTCTAGTCATGTTTAATGAACTCCCAGGTCAGTTGAAAGAGTGTGTGTGTGTGTGCCAGTGTGTGTTTGTCTCATCCCACCCTGCCTGACCCCAATGCTGGTGTAGGTGTTCCAGTGTCCAGTCGTGTGTCCACTAAGATCCAGCAGCTTCTAAATACACTCAAACGACCCAAACGGCCACCGCTCAGTGAGTTCTTCATGGATGACCAAGAGGAGATTGTGGAAGGTATGTCCATCAGCACTGAAAGAATGCTAAGAATTGTTGTCAGTGCCTAAAATCCTCCATCATTGAGTGACAAATGCATCTTTTTTCATAAATCTAGCAATGTCCAGAGAACTTAGATTGTGCATTTGAAATGTTTTTAATGAAAATGGTTAAAACTCTGCAGAGGACCAGTATTTTAAAAGAGAATTTCCCCTGCTGTATTCTTTCCAAATAAAAGCCCTGTGGTTTGACAGTTAAAAGCAAAGCATAAATATTAATTTTAAGGGTTTATAAAAATAATAATCATACTTTTATACAAAGTTTATAATAATAATAATAATAGTAATAATAATAATAATATTTTTATCTAATATTAATAACTCATTTTAGTAGTCATAGTAAGGGTAGAATTTGCAGTTATAATATTATTGTGATTTTACCATTAATAATTTTTATTTTTTTTAAATAAATACAGTTATTGATTTAATTTTAATCATTTACTTTAGTAATAACAATATTATCATACAATTGTATTATTATATGCATTTATTTATATTTTTATGAATTTTAGTACTCAGGTATATTATAGTCATATTTACACATATAATCTGTATCATTCGATAAAATAAAAACAATAAATTTTAGTAGTCATAGTAGTGGTTCTATAAGTAGTTATATTATAATGTTTTTTACATTAAGAATTTTTTTTCAAAAGAATTTTGGTTATGGATTTAACTTAACATTAATATTTTAATTCAATTATAGGAATATTATACAATTTTATAATTATATGCATTTAATTATATTTTTAATGATTTTTAAAGTTGAACTTTATTATTGTGAAGTTTACACATGTAATCTGTATCATTCGATAAAATATTTAAAATTTATATTAGTAGTCATAGTAGGGGTAGAATTAGTAGTTTTATTATTATGAATTTTACATTAAAAACAATCATTTAATTTAATATCAACTATATTAGACCATTTTATGATTGTATGCATTTACAAATTTTTTCATGATTTTTTACTATTCAAATGTATTATTGTGACATTTATGCATATAATCTGTATAACTGGTAAAATATTAATAACTAATTTTAGTAGTCATAGTAAGGGTAGAATTAGTAGTTATAATATAATTATGATTTTTACTTTAATAACTTACTTTTTTCAAAATAAATACAGTTATTGATTTAATTTTAATCATTTACTTCAGTAATAACAATATTATACAATTTTATTATTATATGCATTTATTTATATTTTTATGAATTTAACTACTCAAATATACTATAGTCATGTTTACGCATATAATCTGTGTAATTTGATAAAATAAAAATTTACATTTACATTTAGTCATTTAGCAGACGCTTTTATCCAAAGCGACTTACAAAAATAACAAATTTTAGTCATAGAAGTGATTGTATTAGTAGTTATGGTGTTATGGATTTAATTTTAGTCATTTAATTCAGTAATATCAATATTATTATATGCATTTACAATGTTATTATTATAAGTATTTTTGTTATGTAACTTATTACCTTCAGCAATTCAGTGGGGATTTAATTAAATTATAGCAACATTAATAACACATCTTCAAGTTTGGTCGTCTGGCTGCAAAAGCATTGACCCATGTGTTTGTCCTCCTCAGTTCCTCGGGCAGATCCGAACACCCCGAGGCCCGAAGGCCGTCAGATCATCCCGGTGAAGGGTGAGCCGCTGGGTGTGGTCAGTAACTGGCCTCCTGCCCTCCAGGCAGCTTTAGCGCGATGGGGAGCCACACAGGGCAAGAGTCCTGCTCTCACCGCTCTGGACATTACAGGAAAACCACTCTATACACTCACGTTTGGTAAGAAGGAGCAAAACACTTATGCTGATTGAATGCAGATGCTGGCGTTGGTTTTACAGCTGAGTGATTGTGTGTGATTGACAGGGAAACTGTGGAGTCGCAGTGTAAAGCTGGCCTACACGCTCCTCAACAAACTAGGCACCAAAAATGAGCAGATCCTCAAACCAGGAGACAGAGTAAAAACAAACAAACAAACAAAACTATAATTCATGTTTAGATTATTACATGACGATGTTTTGCTGGTGTATAAACGGTTCAGTCATTTGAGTATTTATACTAATGTTATTTTAGTGTGTATGTGCTATTGAAGTAGTCTTTCATATTTTAAATGAGCTTTTATTTTAACGACATTTCAATTTTAATTTGGGTTTTAAAATTCATGCTATGTGTTTAGTGATACTTTAATGATGAGTGATACTAAGCTTTTTACTCCTCTTAGCACACGTGCTGCTGATTATGTGACAATAAAAGTGATTTGATTTGTTTAATAGTTTCAAATGTTATTTTTATTAATTAAGCTTTATTTTTATTGTAGTTTAGTTTTAACTGTTTTTTTTTTAGTCATTAATATTTTAAATGAGCTTTTATTTATATGTTTTTCGCCTTTATTTAAATTTGGGTTTTAAAATTTATGCTATATATTTGGTAATACTTAAAACTTTTAAATGTTATTTTTATTAAGCTTTATTTTTTATTGTAGTGTTATTTTAGCAGTTTTTATTACTTTATAATTTTTCAATTTATTTTATGAGTTTTTCATTAGATGTAATGATACATTTCATTTCAGATTTTATTTGTCAATAGTCAAATACAGTACATTAGTTAACATAAACTAAATAAGAATTCTTTTACAGCAACTTTTAATATTTAATAATATTATTCTCTATGAACATATTATTAACATGAACATAAACATTTATTAACTAACATGTTGCTAAATGCTTTTGCAAGTAACAAATGATATCATTTTAGTTTTACCTAATAAAAGCACTGTCATTTTCTTCACATTGTTGTATATATTGATCAAGGCAATGTTTTTTTTTTTAAATTCTGGCATTTTTTAAAAATCATTTGCAAACGTGGCTTTGTTTTTGATTCAGGTGGCGCTGGTGTATCCTAACAGTGACCCCGGTATGTTTTGGGTTGCGTTTTATGGTTGTTTGTTGGCTGAAGTTATTCCTGTCCCCATCGAGGTTCCACTGTCCCGAAAGGTACCAAACATTTGACAAAAATACATTAAATGGAGCTTTCAAAATCCAATAAAGTGTTAACATTTGAACTTGTCATTGCGATGAAACAATTTCCGTGTGTTTTTACAGGATGCTGGGAGCAGCCAGGTTGGCTTTTTGTTGGGCAGCTGTGGTGTGGGTCTGGCTTTGACCAGTGAAATCTGCTTGAAGGGTTTACCAAAAACCCCCACTGGAGAAATACTGCAATTTAAAGGTCAGAGACATCAAAGTACTGATCCATTACCTTTCAAAAGCTGGTGAGTGTTGGGAATTTTATATTGGGTTAAGAATTTTATGTTCTATGTAAATTTGATAGACACAATGATCATAGCAATGCCTTCCAAAATGTCTCTTGGACTAAAATTGAAAGCCAAACCAAACCAAAATGAATACAAATTATTTAGTGATATTATACAGAATTATACACCCTCCTAAATTATTAGGCTCTCTGTATATTTTTCCCCTCTTTCTGTTTAACGGAAAGATTTTTTTCAACACATTTCTAAACATAATCATTTTAATAATTAATATCTAATAACTGATTGCTTTTATCTCTCCCATGATGAGGCTATATAATATTTTTACTAGATATTTTTCAAAATACTAGTATTCAATTTAAAGTGCAATTTAAAGGCTTAATTAGGTTAACTAGGCAAGTTGTGGTAATTGGGCAAGTCATTACAACAGTTTGTTCTGTAGACAACAGGAAAAATATTGCTTAAAGGGGCTAATAATTTTGAACTTAAAATAGGTTTTTTTTAAATTAAAAACTGCATTTATTTTAGCCGAAATAAAGCAAATAAGACTTTCTCCTGAAGAAAAAATATTATAGGAAATGCTGTGAACAATTCCTTGCTCTGTTAAACATAATTTAGGAAATATTTGAAAAAGAAAAAAAATTACAGGAGAGCAAATTATTTTGAATTCAACTGTATAACGTTTGCTATATATTAAATTGTGAAGACGTTTTTTCAGTTTAGCGAAAGTCCGTGACGGTCTGACAAGTTTCAAATGGTTCACCATAAAAGAGGAATTTGTTACAATACAGTCATGCAATGGCTGATCTGCCCCAAAATGAACACATTTGATCTTGGCCTGAACACATCTACAGTACATGACAATATTAATCTACAGTAATAGCACCACCTGCTGACAACAGGAAATATTTTGTACGCTACCACAAACAATGTCCAATCTGGGAAATAGGAAAATGTACCTTTTGGCTTTACTGTCTATCCTAATCGAAAGGAAAAATTTTTCATATCTTCATTAATTTTCCTCTGGCTTAGTTAGAAATGAACCACCAACTTTTCAGGCATATGTTTTACGCAGTGGATGCCCTTTTAGCTGCAGGCCAGTACTGGAAAGGAAATTGCATTCATTCATTTATTTTCCTTCAGCTTAGTCCCTTTATTTATCAGGGGTCACCACCGTGGAATGAACCGCCAACTTATCCAGCATTTGTTTTACGCAGCGGATGCCCTTCCAGTTGCAACCCAGTGCTGGGAAACATCCATAAACACTCATTCACACTCATACTCTACGGCCAGTTTAGTTTATTTAATTCACCTATAGCGCATGTCTTTAGACTGTGGGGGAAACCGGAGCACCCAGAGGAAACCCACAACAAACACCGGGAGAACATGCAAACTCCACACTGAAATACCAACTGACCCAGCCAGGGCTTGAACCAACGACCTTCTTGCTGTGAGGCGAATGTGCTACCCATTGCGCCACCGTGCAGCCCTAAATGAAAATTTACTAATAAGAATTTTAGGATATTGCTGACTGAAATAAGCTTGTACATCACCAGTATCAGAGACTCTCTAAACAAGAAAGCCCTACGCACAGAAAAAAACTCTAATAATATATTTATTTTATTATTACATATATCCATTTTGTATATTTGTATTTTGTTTCTATTTACCCCCTAAAATGTATATATTTTGTTGTACAATGAATATAAAAATATAAAATGAACATATGAATCACTGACATTTCTATTTACCCAATTTAACATATATTTCCCATTTATATATTTGTTTGTTGTTATGTCAAGTCAGCCAGGTGTGAGGGCTCTTTCTGTGCTGCTCGCAGATTTAATTATACATTTTTAATCTTTTTTTACTAATTTTATTTTTATTGACAAATTTTTTACAGTTTACAACAGAACATTTTACATTCAAAAATATGCAATTTTAAAACATTCAAAATGGAATAATAAACAACTGCAACAACAACAGTAACAACAACAGCAACAATGTGTAGTGGCTAGCACATTCGCCTCATCAAGAAGGTCGCTGGTTCAAGCCTCGGTTGGGTCAGTTGGCGTTTCTGTGTGAAGTTAGCATGTTCTCCCGTGTTGGCGTGGGTTTCCTCCAGGTGCTCTGGTTTCCCCCACAAGTCCAAAGTAAGGGGTATAGATGAGTTGGGTAAGCTAAATTGTGCATAGAGTGTGTGTGAATGAGTGTGCATGAATGTTTCCCAGTGATGGGTTGCAGCTGGAAGGGCATCCGCTGTGTAAAACATATGCTGGATAAGTTGGCGATTCATTCTGCAGTGGCAACCCCAGATTAATAAAAGGACTAAGCCCAAAATGAATGAATGAACATTGGGGGGCTTACATTGTTTCAGATTTAATTCATTCAGCAGTTGTTCTAATTGTGTTTCTCATAGGTTGGCCCAGATTAAAATGGGTGGTGACCGACTCCAAATACCTCACAAAGCCTTCGAAAGACTGGCAGCCTCACATCCCAACAGCCAACACAGACACGGCATACATTGAAGTAAGAGCACGTTTCATTTGTCTGAATGTGGTTATGTGTGTTCAAGGCATGTAAACCTCTTCCTGTGGTTCTCTCATGCAGTATAAGGCCAGTAAGGAGGGCACAGTGATGGGGGTTGCGGTTTCCAAAGTGGCCATGCTAACACACTGCCAGGCGCTCAGTCAGGCCTGTAACTACTGTGAGGGTGAGTGATGCTGTTGCAGCTAGTCATGCTGCTTCATGGTCTGCTCTCTTGGAGAGTTAATGAAACTGTTCTGCATGCAGGTGAGACACTGGTGAATGTTTTGGACTTTAAGAAGGACATGGGATTGTGGCATGGAGTTCTAACGGTGAGAGGAAATAAATGTGTATATGTCATCACTGGTAATGCTGAATTCACCTAAAAGCAGCTGTGTATGTGTGTTTCAGAGTGTGATGAACCGAATCCACACCATCAGCGTTCCATATGCAGTAATGAAGGCCTGTCCTCTGTCCTGGGTTCAGCGGGTTCATATACATAAAGGTTCAGAGAGTCAAAACTAAATGACTATTCAGTCCTCTAGACCCATTTGCTTTGATTTCACAAACGTCTGTGGTCTTACAGCACGGGTGGCCCTGGTGAAGTGCCGTGACCTGCATTGGGCGATGATGGCGCACAGAGATCAGAGAGACACCAGTCTGGCCTCTCTGCGTATGCTAATTGTTGCTGACGGCGCCAATCCTTGTGAGTTATGCTAACAGGCCTCCTGTAGAGATGTGGCTATTTAATGTTCATATTCAAGGTTGCCACTCTTTTTAATCTCCTTTTATCTGCTTCTCTTTTGAATTTAGGGTCTGTTTCATCATGTGATGCATTTTTGAACGTATTCCAGGCTCACGGTTTGAAGCCAGAAGTCATCTGTCCTTGTGCTACGTCACCTGAGGCCATGACTGTCGCCATTCGCAGGTATAGCATTTTTAGATAAGTTGCATTTTAACAGTGAATCCACCATGTAGTCAGATTTACACATTGCTGTCTTCCAAACATGCAGATTTTCTTTAAATCTAAATTTCTTAGTCACTGACATTAACCAAATATGTGTTTTTAGTGTTTACAGCTACCAGTTATTGGAAAATGTAGGTAAAACCTTATTAAAAATAGGGCATTTTAATCTGTAATCACCAGGCACTATTATAATGGCCCTAATTTTATTCTGCTATATTCATTATATTTGATTTGTTGTCAGATGTTAATAGTCAATGCCCATTACTCACCTCCATATAGAAATCTGATATATGGCAGTATGAGCAAATTACATACAGTTGAAGTCAAAATTATTAGTCCCCCTGAATTATTAGCCCCTTGTTTATTTTTCCCCCCCAATTTCTGTTTAACGGAGAGAAGATTACCTATCCTGCCTAGTTTACCTAATTAACATAGTTAAGCCTTTAAATGTTACTTTAAGCTGTATAGAAGTGTCTTGAAAAATATGTGGTAAAATATTATTTACTGTCATCATGACAAAGATAACTAATCCAGTTATTAGAAATGAGTTATTAAAACTATTATTTTTAGAAATGTGTTAAAGAAAATCTTCTCTTTGTTAAACTGAAATTGGAAAAAAATATATATACAGGGGGCTAATAATAATGACTTCAAGTGTATGTTGTCAAATATATTAACTATAATTTTATATATACATTCATATGTCAATAGATTTTTGTTTTAGTCACAATTGGATAAAAGAAGGAAATGTGAGGATGCCAAACAGGTGTTTTAGGTAATAAATGCCACAAGTGCTGTTTAGTCTGATAATGGGTGACTGGGTGTCCTGGGTCTGTTCAGCATCATAGTTGATAACTAATAATAATAATTTTTAGACTTTAGCCATTACGATGTGAACAATTTTGCTGCAAATTATATAATTTCAGATCGATATCACAATGTGTGAATCTCCAAAGTCAAGTTTGGATTATAATAATCAGCTACTACAGTTCAGAATGTGGGATTTGTGGAGTCTGCGCAAAGTTTACCTTAATATAGTGGAAGGTTTTTATTTGGAAGTGTTTGTGAAGACCTGGGACTTTGTGAGGTTTCAAAAACTGTGTGAAGTTATAAAGTTGAAGCTTTAACAAAGATTAGTATTATTTATATTTAAGACAAAACAGTGTTATTTTAAATATACCTGAATTTCTGTGCCTCAATACTGTTAGAGTCCACAGAAAACCATAAAACACGATTTATTTCATTTGCATCTTTGATGTAATTTGCTTAATTTGCTTTGTCGTAATATGCATCCTTATTATATTTTATCTCAATTAATCTGAACTTATGAATTCCAAATAGTGCTACAAGTCATCTTTTGAAATTATATATATCGCAATATAAATTACAGACAAAAAAACAGTGCAATGTCAGTTTTTTCCAATATTGTGCAGTCCTAGATATTAGTATGCGTTTCCTAACTCTGAGATGTTTCTCCAGGCCTGGGATTTCTGGTGCTCCTCTTCCAGCGAGAGCCGTTCTGTCCATGACTGGCCTGAGTCACGGGGTCATCAGAGTCAACACTGAAGACAAGAACTCGGCTCTCACCGTTCAGGATGTGGGACATGTCATGCCTGGAGGTGTGGGTTTGACATATTCACACCAAGATTAACTATAAAGATTACTGTAAAGACGACTAGTGTCCATCCTAATGCATAATAACCTGCTGTTTACACATTGCTGTTATGTCACTTACTGCTTTAAGTACTCAAGTTAAAGCATTGTGAATTCCGATTACTCCATGTTTTTATATTTCATTCTGTGCTGTTATTGCTACAATTGTGGTGTGGGCTTTTAAATGATAATAAGTTCTATAGTAATCATACGTTTTAGTACCAAATCCACACAGGCTCACACACTCTTCACGAACTATGTAGTATGGAAGTTTGGATATTAGGATAGTGGGTATACAAACTTTCTGTAGCTCAATTTGTAACATTTGTATAAAAGCATCTTCCAAATTCATAAATGTACATATAATGTAAATCTTCATTGTTGTGTTGTTGTTGTTTTCCATAACAGGCATGTGTGCTATATGTACATGTATGACATCTGTTTATGTGTGTTTTAGCATTGATGTGTATTGTGAAACCCGATGGGCCGCCTATGCTGTGCAAGACGGATGAGATTGGAGAGATCGTGGTAAACTCTCGCGCTGGTGGAAACATGTATTATGGCCTTTCAGGAGTTACTAAAAACACCTTTGAGGTAAGCTGTTATTTAAAAAATTCTAATCTAAAAGTATTCATTCATTTTCCTTCAGCTTAGACCAGGGCTATTCAATTGGCGGCCCCCGAGGCACTTTGTTCCGGTCCTCCAAACAGTGACCAAGACTTTAAAAATTAAATTTAGTTTAGTCGACAAACGGCCGCGATTGTTATGAAGTCATGTGTGTCTGTTCAATAACAGCACGAGCTGCAGTTAAAGGCTGCACAGAGGCGTGAGTCATCATAAGCGACTGGTGCGGGCAGCCGAAAACATGTTTGTAGAAAAGGCTATTTGTACAATGCACTGATACCGTTAATAGGGATGCAACACTTAGCCGATTTCACTATTAACTGCGCTTTAATTCGTCACAGTTTATTAATCGTAAAGTCTTCTCTAAGCCACATTTCTGTTGCACGGAACGAAACGAAACCGCTGCAAAATGCCAAGTTGCCTGTGCGCTAGTTTGAAGTTTGAAGTACACAGAGGCTAATACGCACACACACAGGATTAACTAAAGCAGCGGCCGTTCCCAAATCATGTCTTTTCCACTTGCAAGTTTGTTATTTCTTAATGTAAGAATATATGACAATATGCGGGCGCCAGTGGAGCGACATGCTTGCGTCTTTCTGGATGCACGCAGTAGAAAACATCCCACGGTGAGAGTTGTGCAACCCAGATGCAACCCAGTACTGGGAAACACCCATACACTCTCTTGTTCACACACATACACTACAGCCAATTTAGTTTATTCAATTCACCTATAGCACATGTCTTTGGACTGTGGGGGAAACCGGAGCACCCGGAGGAAACCCATGCGAACACGGGGAGAACATGCAAACTCCACATAGAAATGCCAACTGACCCAGCCGAGGCTCAAACCAGCAACCTTCTTGCTGTGAGGCGTGTCACCTACTCAAATCTAAATAACATAGTAAATTTAAAGTTGTAGTAAAATGAGTATTTTGTTTTTTTGACATTGTATTTAATAATAATTTTTTAAAAATCACAGAAAATCCTTTTCCTAATATCTGTGAAATAATTTTTTTAAAAGAGTGTTTCACCTTCAAAAAATGTCCAAAAATGTTTTAAAAGAAGTGCTGGGCAAACATTAAACATGATCATTCATTCATTTTCCATCGGCTTAGTCCCTTTATTCATCAAGGGTCACCACAACGGAATGAACTGCCAACTTATCCTGCATATGTTTTACCCAGCAGATGCCCTTGCAGCTACAACTTAGTACTGGGAAACACCCATACACACTGACATTTACATTCATACACTACAGTCAATTTAGTTTATTCAATTCACCTATAGCGCATGTCTTTGGACTGTGTGGGAAACTGAAGCACCCGGAGGAAAGCCACACAAACATGGGGAGAACATGCAAACTCCACACAAGTGACCAAATGCTAACTGAATCAGCCGGGACTCAAACCAGTGACGTTCTAGCTGTGAGCCATTGTGTCACTCACAATCATGATTAATTGCATCCAAAATAAAAGTTTGTTTTGACATAATATATATATGTATTGTACTTATTATGTAAATGTGATGCATACACATGCATAGAAACAAAACTGTATATATATATATATATACATACATACAGTTGAAGTCGTAATTATTAGCCCCTCTGTTTATTTTTTTCCTGTATTTCTGTTTAACGTAAGATTTTTTTTCAACACATTTCAAAACATAATAGTTTTAATAACTTATTTCTAATAACTGATTTATTTTATCTGTGCCATGATGACTAATATTTTACAAGATATTTTTCCAAACACTTCTTGCAGCCTAAGGTGACATTTAAGGGCTTAACTAGGTTAATTAGGTTAACAAGGCAGGTTAGGGTAATTAGGCAAGTTATTGTATAACGATGGTTTGTACTGTAGACAATCAAATGAAAAGTTAGCTTAAAGGGGCTAATAATATTGATTTTAAAATGTTTTTTAAAAAAAAATTAATCTAATTTTATTCTAGCCTAAATAAAACAAAATAAAAAATATTTTTAAAAAATAATAAAAATTCAAAGGGGGCTAATAATTTTGACTTCAACTGTGTGTGTGTGTGTGTGTGTGTGTGTGTGTGTGTGTGTGTGTATGTGTGTATTTATTTATTTATTATGAATATCTAAATATAAATAAGCATTTTCTCAAAATATGTGCCTGTGTGGATTTATATGTACTTAATAAATATACACTGTACACACACTTAAGTAATATAAAAACAAACTTTTATGATTAATCCTGATTAATTTTGCCCAGCAAAATTGATAAGTCAAATGTTATCTTAACACCTTTTAGTTTTCCACTCTCAACAATGTCTCTACTCATTTTAGTCATCTAGTCACTGTTCCTGTTTTTCAGTTTGATATATATACAATTATGTATATGTCACACAATACTTGATCTTGCCTTGTTTTGAATCCTGCAGGTAATCCCTGTCAACGCTAGTGGTGCTCCTATTGGAGAAATCCCATTTGTACGGTCGGGATTACTGGGATTTGTTGGACCGGTAAGAGTTTGAAAAAACAAAACAATAGAGAGAGTCAGCGCCATTTTTCAGTTAAAAACTTATTTTCCTCTCTTCTTCTTCTATAGGGTAGTCTAATTTTTGTGGTGGGTAAGAATGAGGGCCTGCTAATGGTCAGTGGTCGTCGTCACAATGCTGATGATCTAGTGGCGACGGCGCTTGCTGTGGAACCTGTCAAAACTGTGTACAGAGGCAGGTGAGGGTCCCTTGTGGAAACAGAGAGAACATTGTAGTCTTCATTCATTCATTCATTTTCTTTTCGACTTAGTCCCTTTATTATTCCAGGTCGCCACAGTGGTATGAACCGCCAACTTATCCAGCGCTTTAATCTGAAGTGTGTATGTTTTGTAGGATTGCTGTGTTCTCGGTGACTGTGTTCTTTGATGAGAGGATAGTAATCGTAGCAGAGCAGAGGCCTGATGCCAGTGAAGAAGACAGTTTCCAGTGGATGAGTCGGGTTTTGCAGGTACAAGAAACTAAACTTCAGCTCCATTAAGTTAAAATAAATCTGAAATGAAATATAAATAAAGAACTGAAAATAAATTGTAATCTGAATTTTTAACTAAATAGAAATAAATTAACTTAAAATATAAAGCATAAAATATTCAAATAGGTAAATGTATAATTCAAAATGTTTGACTGATAAATACTATAGCATAAAGTATAACTAATACTGAAGTAGCACTGTCAACAGGTTAATGCATGTGATCTAATTTTCACCAAATTCTGGACACTTTTGTGTATGTTAAAGCAGTCAGTGATTTTCCAGGGTTAAAAAAAAGGTAGTGGTTATTTGTACCAAGTAAGTCCAAATAGTGTTATATTCTGTTTACATTAAATGCCCATAAACATAAACAGTTTTTTTTCATTCATCGGTTTCAAGTACACATGAATTCAAAACTAACCTTATTGATTTTGTTAGCTCACATTGCAAGTTTTGTGGTGAACAATTTATGTGTGCATGTCATTAAGAATCTATTCTAATCTGCTCTTGTAATATCAAATTAAAATCTGAAAATGCACTTCCTGTTTGTTTCCAGTTAAATTCTCAGATTACGTTTGTCTGAGGTATTGGGTGTGCTTAACATAGTTAACCACGCCCCTCCAACTGTCAGTTTTGACAGCGCTATGACAACAAACAGAAATAGTGTGTAGTGTCTGTTAGGTTGTAATAACTCTCCCAAAAACCCTTTCACGATCTTTCTGAATGAAATGCCTACTTAACTACATCCAATCAGCTCGCAGTAGAAGAAACAAGCCACGCCCACTGTATTATCATTTAACATTTAGTTTTTCTAGGAACTGCCATCACAATAGGAAAAAAACTGTCACAGCTTCCAGTACATGCAGACTAAAAAATGTATTAATCTTTATGTTTGATTAATATTTTGTTGGTTTTTGTTTTGTTTCTCAGGCAATTGATAGTATTCATCAGGTGGGTCTGTACTGTCTAGCACTGGTTCCTGCAAACACTCTGCCTAAAACTCCCCTGGGTGGCATTCACATCTCAGACACCAAACAGCTGTTCCTAGAGGGGGCACTACATCCCTGCAACATTCTCATGTGCCCACACACCTGTGTCACCAACATGCCCAAACCACGCCAGAAACAACCAGGTGTGTTTTTTAAATTATAAATCTGCTTTTACATACACAGTTATTGCTAAAATGCATTATTAGTGATGTAAAGTAACAATGTGTTTTGTTAATCATTTTCGACATTAGCATAAGGGGCCATTCACATGTTGCATCTCAAGAAGCCTATGGAAAATGTAAAGCGTGTCGCTTCCTCTACCAGTTTCAGTGCTCCTGTGCCATTGCTAAGCAACCATCAGCTGCATTCTCTGAGGAACCACCACTGACAAACCCTTGCTGTAGCTCTGATACAAGTTTTATTTGTAGAGAAAACAACTAAGCGGCATAGTGTACTCTGCGTTTGTTTGAGTTAGTCTACTGTTATAACGGAATTGTGTGTAATACGTACAAAGTGTGAAGCTGATTGTATAGTTCTTGTCACATTTTTTCTTTTAAAAAATAGCTATAAAAATAACTTAATCAAGACATACTGTTTTCCTCATTTCAAAACATTGCAAGACTAGAGAACGACATGCACATCATCAATTGAATATTTTGAATTTAATGCATGTCCTTTGTTGAATTTGTGTTGAATTTATCACTTAGTTTAAGAGATAAAGTCACCGTGTGCTTATAAAAATATCCTTCAAATGCTTACTGTTATGGACAGTCAACTCAGTTTTACAGGACACAGAAATGGCCAGATTTTTTACAGTACAAGTATACACTCCTGAGTCGTCTACTTGGGTGTTGAGTACCACTTAAGTACATTCATTGTCATCGTACACAAATGTGAAATGGCTGCGCTTGCGACATTCTAAAAAGGTTGAGGTGTTCAGATATCCAGCGTTCTCCACTGTAGTAATACCAAACCTGAGCATGCAAAAGATTCAAAAAAGTGTCATTGTTTTATTGCTACTTTGTGAGTGTCAATAAAACACTGACAAAGTGTTTCTTTTAAAATTATTTTGGTCAAAACTATTTTAGGCTAATTATTTAGCCTAAAACTAAAAATGGAACTTTAATCAAGCAAGTGTGAAATAGTTATTATAGAAATGTAGTTATTAATTACACAACGCTATTTATTGATTTATTGTTTGTCTTTGTTGAATACTGCAGAAGATAGAGTTTTTAAAAAGCATATTAAATTGCAAATGCAATGTTGTTCACAATATTTGCAATTTAATAATTTTGTATAATTGTTCAACGCTAGTGTGTCCGCTTGGCCTATTGTAAATGAAGATCTTTGAGGTGATGTAACCGTAATATCACGAGGTGAAAATCTAACGCTAAATCTAGTGCTAATGTGTGTGTTATAGTGGGAGTCGGGCCTGCCTCCATCATGGTGGGTAATTTGGTTGCTGGGAAAAGAATAGCACAGGCTGCAGGGAGAGATCTGGGACTCATTGAGGACCAAGACCTGGTCAGGAAGGTAAACACAGACTTTGTGTTGTATTGTGCACCTGTATAGCAGGACGTATATAAATGATGCAAACCATTTCTTTTATTTGAAATGCCTTGTGTGGTATTTTAATGCTCTCGTGTGGATTCAGCTGTGCATGTGGCCTACTATGATGGTGAGAGCTGAACATTATGTCACAGTCACTTGATACAATTCTGTATTCTTTTCTTTTTTTAATGTTACCTATTGGGCAGTTCACATAATGACCTGTCTCTGTTTTCTTTTTTAGCATCAGTTCCTCACTGAAGCTTTACAGTGGAGAGCTCAAACAGATCCCGACCATACGCTTTATGTGCTTTTGAATGCAAAGGTAAAAATATAGAAACGCCAAATGAAGTAGCAAAAAGACTAAACCTGCAATGCTGGCCTATAATGTGCTGTTTTTCTCTGCAGGGAGTGGCGGTGTGTACAGCTACATGTGTGCAGCTTCATAAAAGAGCAGAGAAAATCGCTGCTGCTCTCATGGAGAGAAGTGGCATTAACATCGGAGAAAATGTGGTGCTTTTGTATCCTCCAGGTAAGCAACACTCCTTTAACAATGCGTATAATGAAGGGCTATAAACAGCACTCTCATTTCATATGTGTAGAGTGCGTGCATATTGAGTAAAGACAATATTTTACATACTTTTATGTTTTTATTTCATATAAATTTCATATAAAAATAGTCATTCGGAAAAATAAAAGCTCATATAAAATACTTCAAATACAATCGAAGCAAGCAATTTTAGCCCTTGTGTTAAATTTTCTTTAGTTTTTTCAAGTACCGTATTTTCCGCACTATAAGGCGCACCTAAAAGCCTTAAATTTTGTTATAAAACGGCCGTGCGCCTAATAATCCGGTGCGCTTTATGTGTGCATGGAGCTCAAAAATCTGTAAAAAAGTTGTGTGATTTCGGAATGCGCTCCGCTTGATTGGCTGTCGGAGCATTTCCCGCCGACACAGACGTAAAACGCACACTCCGTATGCAGCATCAATAAATCAATCAAAACCACATATGTTTAATGATCTCCGAAAATGGCACCAGTGAAGAGACATGTTTACGAGGCACAATTCAAACTACAAGCTACTAGTTACGCGGTTGTAAATGGGAATAGAGCAGCTGCGAAATAATTCTACATAAATGAATCTATGGTTCGGAAGTGGAGGAAACAAGAAAATGAACTGCGCCAAGTTAAGAAGACGAAACAGAGTTTCCGCGGGAACAAAGCAAGGTGGCCACAGTTAGAAAACCAACTTGAATGAATTCGGAGCTTACTGTCATTCCGGGAGGACTAACAAAAGAACTCCAACAGCTGGATATTGGTGTAGACGGCGTTTAAAGTGAAGTTGCGAGCTGCGTGGGACCAATGGATGACAGACGGCGAACACACTTTTACTAAGACTGGTAAGCATGCCGGGCGAGTTACGCCACCATATGTGAATGGATTGTGGATGCCTGGGCTAGGGTGTCTGCTTTAACTGTTGTCCGAGCTTTCGCAAAAGCCGGAACAGCCACCCGGCAATGAGACTGACTCCGACAATGATGAGAGAGAACCCGCCGTGTTTGATGACGAAACTGCCCAGCTGTTCAATTCAGACACAGAAGATGAGGACTTTAATGGATTTTTGGGAGAAGACTGATTGAAAAAAATAATAATGTGAGTGTATTGTTAAATAGTACAATAAAGTTCAACTAAACTATAGCCCCTTTCACACATACAGAGCTTTCCGGAAAATTGCCGGCAATTTTCCATAAAGGTTGTATGTGTGAACAGGTCCTTTTTGAAAATACCGGTAAATTCGTTCTGGCTATTTTCCGGAAAGAGAAGTTGTAACATTACCGGCAATTTGCCGGAATGCTGCGCTGTGTGAATGCAGAAGGAAGATTACCGTAATAAGCGCGTGCATGTCTAGAACGTGCTGACGTGAGACGTCTGCTTTAGCCAATCACAACAGTCAGACGCATTTACGTCCGCGCGGTTTGTGAGAATAAAAGCCTTTGAATATTTTTCCAGACACATTTAGCTGCTAGAAGTTAGTCAGATCACGTTTATATATTCTTCTTAATGCCAACTGTGTAAATAATCATCAATGAGATGCTTATGATAAGCCGTTGTTTGTTTACCTTCAAGCTTTGCGTGTGCCTGTAAAACAGCCTGTAAGCGCCTGCACACGCATATTATGAACATCTCGACATGCGAAAGTGATCCTGCGAAAGTTGTTCACAATATTGATCATCCACAGAGTTTGTAATTTAGTCAAATGTTTACAAATACAAACGCAGCCGTTTAAAGCTCATTTGTGGTGAATGATGTCAGAATTTACCGGTATTTTGGAATGGATGTGTGAATGCTCTTTTCCGGAAAATTTCCGTAACGTCCTCGCCTGTGTGAACAGCGCTTTTTTGAAAATACCGGTAAAGTCGTTCTGGAAATTTTCCAGATATTTACCGGTATCACTGTGTGAAAGGGGCTTATGTTAACTGTTTTGCTTCCATTACCTTTTTTGCAGACAGTGTATTTTAGCGTGCGCCTTATAATACGGTGCGCCTTATGTATGGGTCAAGTACAGAAATAGACCCCGTAATTGAAACTGCGTCTTATAATCCGGTGCGCTTTATAGTGCGGAAAATACGGTATTTCTCATGTAATGTTTAATAGAGCAAGGATTTATTTCACATTATTTTCTAATAAATGTTTGTTATGGAGAATGTTCTATATCTTAGTTTGGCTGGAATAAAAAAGAGTTTAATATAAATCTGCTACGGTCAATATTATTAGCCCCCTTAAGATTTTTATTTCAGAACAACCACGGCTTTCCATTAACTTGCCTTATAAATCTAACTTGCCTAATTAACCTTGATAAGCTTTCACATTGCACTTTAAGTTGAATAGTAGTAACTTTAAAAATATTATGTAGTGTCATCATTGTAGAGACAATAGAAACGAGTTAGTTATATTTTAATTAATTAAATAACTGTTTTAGTTACTTAAATTAGGTAATTATTATAACTATTGTGTTAAACTATTATGTTTAAAACTATTATTTTTTAAAAATGTATTTAAAATAATTTTCTCTGTTAAACGGCACTAATAATTTAAAAATATTTTAATCCAAAGTTAAATGATACTAAAAAGTCACACAAAATGTGTTAGGTGAATTTTCTTTTTTTAAATCGTAATAGACATTGGGCTCAAATAAATTAACTCTTTTAGATGACAAGCATAAACTTATTGCCTTTTAAAAATATATAACAAATAGGTCAAAGTTCTAAAAATACTTACTGAGACATATGAAATAAAAAGCAAATTATAAATATACTTAATACTAAGCACGCAAACATTTTAAAAATAAAAAAATAACCGAAGAGATATATATAAAAGCAACTAATGGTGCATTGTATATCAATTTTCTGTGTGTGCAGGTATTGATCTGATCGCAGCATTTTATGGCTGTTTGTACGCTGGTTGTATTCCTGTCACCGTGAGGCCTCCACACCCACAGAACCTCTCTGCCACTCTGCCCACCGTCCGCATGATCATCGATGTAAGTCTGCTGATTTTCCGTCTCCTAAACGTCATCATTTGGATGTATTTCTTTGGCTGCTTTGTTCAGCACCCAAAATGTTCACCTTTTTCGTGTCTCTTCTTGGGTTTTTGCAGGTCAGCAAGGCTGCTTGCATCCTCACTACTCAGGTTCTAACAAAGATTCTCAGATCGAAAGAAGCAGCAGCTACAGTCAACATAAAAACATGGCCTATCATTATAGACACAGGTAACACACACATCCGTCGATTTACAATACAGCTCCTGTGCACAATAAAATGCACTTTGTTGATATAGTACAGGCCCATAGCCAGCCTGGTGAAAGGGGTGGTTCTGTTTTTCTTAAAATATAGACCTTTTTGCAGTTATTAGCCTCATTTTCTATTTAATTATGAGGTTTAAATAGTTTTTAAACATTACTTTTTCCTGGATTAGCTTGTAAGATGGTCATCAACCACACTTTTTGAAGTACCAAAAACATTTCCTAAAGATTTTGAATAAAAAAATATGAGAATAATACTAATAGTTTTTCAAATACAAATTTTTTACATCATTACTAAAAAGTATTAAATTAAAAACTATTCCTCAGTCACACTGAAGCAACAGCAAAAAGAGGATTCAGCTTGGTCTTAAAACCTTTTTCGATGGGTTATTTTCAAAATTTATTATGGCATAGCAGTCAAAATTAGACAGATGACTTATGTATAGGACAAATTCTTTACCTTTGTCAGTAAGGGGTGCGTCTTTCAAACTACCTGAACCCCCCCTGGCTACGGGCCTGTAATAATAGGGTCAAGTCAAATTATATGATTTGTTAATTGTGCACAGGTTGAATCAGGATTTGCTCTTTCATTAAGAAATACATTTTCACGTAACAAAAAACCTTCTAAACCACTGCCATTTCAAACATTTAAAGAAAATGTCTTGGTAATGACTAGTGATTTAATGGAAATAATTTAGTCAAAACTGTTACGTTTTTAAATTTGGTCTTAAAATTGGTTGGCAGGTTTTTCATTTTAGATTTTTAAGGTAAATGACTTATCTGCCTCATAGCAATGTGCAATGCTGACTAAAAATACCAATGTATTTCTTTTTCATTACATGTTTCAACAGTATTATGCTAAGTGTGTTTTGTACTGGTATGTTGGCTGATTTAAGCGTTTTAGATTGTTTGTTCATGAACAGATTCTTTCACGATTAAAACACAGCAATGTTGCTCTGAGATGCACAAATGTTCTGCTTCAGCTTTGTTTGGAATTTTTTTCATTGACAAAAACAGAAAATACCGTTTAAAATATTGTCTCTTAATGTTAACATTGTTGTTTAACTGTTAAATAAAACTATCAAATTAGCAAATGTCACTTTTTCTTGTGATATTACTCACAAAAAACAAGGATACTTTTGTCATTCAGCACTTTTAATGTAATGAATTCCTTCCATCAATTCCATTCATGACACAGTTAAAGCTTTTCCACTCTCTGTTTTTGCTTGTTATTTTGCTAAGTGAGTGAATTATTTACGAATTGTAGCTAGCATATTGTCATTGTACCATTGTAGATGATACAGATTGCACACATTTAGTGCAATATTTTTTTATCACATACCCTCATAATTTCTCTAAACAAAATAACTTTTCTCTTTTGATGCATTTACTGGCTTTGAGGGCAGGATGACCAGTTAACGTGAATATACACAGAAAAGATTGAAAAGTATGTTTCAGGCTGACTTTAACTTTCATTTCTCTTGTTGTTCCTCAGATGACTTGCCTCGCAAACGGCCTCCCACAATCTACAAGCCACCCAATGCTGAGATGATCGCCTATCTGGACTTCAGTGTTTCTACCACAGGCATGCTGACAGGAGTAAAGGTGAGAAATTTTTCATCGTTGTTTTAGGTAGTTTTGTTGAACCGTTAATATACTAAATAACTGACCAATCAGCAGTGTTTATCTGGATGGGTTTGTGTTAACATAAATCTGAAACTACTACTGAAAATGCTTCTATAGGGCTTATCACTCTATGCTTAACCCTGGGTTACTGTTGTTCTAAACACTGCTTTTAACAGCAGGTAAAGAAATGTTTCACACCTGTAATTTAAAAGCTGTTTTAGCACAGAATTTTGCTTAAGGTGATGAAAGCACACCTCATTTTTAGTGTTATTTTTGATGTTGAAATGTCATTAAGACAGGTGGAATGTGTTCTGCAGGTGGTTGTCAAGTCCACTCCCATGTGTGGAGCACACTCATGCATCATACGTGTGCGTATGTGATTCATTATGTATATGCTGTACTAAAAAGATAGCCCTTTAATCTAGTTTTGAACTGAGAGAGTGTGGCTTAGCCTCAGACATTTTCAGGAAGGCTATTCCAGAGTTTTTTGATCCATACATGAGAAGGCTCGACCTCCTTTAGTAGACTTTGCTATTCTAGGTACTGCCTGAAGCCCTGAATTTTAAGATCTTACTTACTTTATAAAGGCGTTAACCCTGCACAGCAGTTCTATGTTTGTTCTGATGATGAAGTAGATAATAAAGTAGTGGTTGCTTGGTGCTGCTGGACACTTGGCAGCAGAGACAACAAATAAGGAATTGAGCAGTGATGCTAATGTACATGCATGATGCATGCAGTGATTAGTAATGTACAGTTTGTTATTTGTTTACCCCAGGTATTACATGAGTAATGTCAAATGCGATTGCAGATAACCCAAGATTTCATTTATCTAGGGTTTAGGATGACCCAGGCTTAACAAATCCAAGTGTGAAAAGCCCATATTTTAAGTTTAAAATTTATTGTTATTATTTTAAGGTGTCTTAGAAGCTTTTGACCCTATTGTAGCACATTGTTAGCTCATATTAGAGCTGCAAAGACTAGAACTAGAAAACTAAAGAAAAACCGAGAAACTCAATTATTTTTTTATTTAAAATAAACATAAACATTCTCCCATATTTTTATCTTACATACAATCATTCATTTATTCATTTTCTTGTCGGCTTAGTCCCTTTATTAATCCAGGGTCGCCACAGCAGAATGAACCACCAACTTATCCAGCAAGTTTTTACGCAGCGGATGCCCTTCCAGCCGCAACCCATCTCTGGGAATAATCCTCACACACATTCACATACACACATACAACTACGGACAATTTAGCCTACCCAATTCACCTGTACCACATGTCTTTGGACTGTGGGGGAAACCGGAGCACCCAGAGGAAACCCATGTGAAGGCAGGGAAAACATGCAAACTCCACACAAAAACGCCAACTGAGCCAAGGTTTGAACCAGCGACCTTCTTGCTGTGAGCAACAGCACTACCTACAGCGCCACTGCCTCGCCGATTGTACATACAATCTAACAAAAATAGTACAAATATAATTTGCTGTATAGTCTATTAATACAAATATTTAAATGTATGTATATGCTTAAATAACTCATTAATAGTGAGTTCAGATTTGACTTTACATTCTTCATTAATGGAAGAAATAATATTTTTTTTAAATAAATCTTTTGAATAAATTAAGTTGCATGGTGGCTCAGTGGTTAGCGCTGTCACCTCTCAGCAAGAAGATTACTGGTTTGAGCCCCGGCTGGATCAGTTGCCGTTTCTGTGTGGAGTTTGCTTGTTCTCCTCGTGTTTGTGTGGGTTTCCTCTGGGTGCCGAGGTTTTCCCTACAGTCAAAAGACATGTGTTACAGGTGAATTGAATAAGCTAAATTGTTTAAGCAATAGACAACAGTGTTTGAGAGTTTATGGGTGTTTCCCAGTACTGGGTTGCAGCTTGAAGGGCATCTGCTGCGTAAAACTTATGATGGATAAGTTGGTGGTTCATTTCGCTGTGGCGACCCCTGATAAATAATAGGATTAAGCCAAAGAAAAATGAATGAACGAACAAATCATTTATTAACCAGCACATTACATTTTTAATGGCTGCTTGCCTCCATCTGCTGGAGTAACAGTGTAATTGCTAAATTTTTCATTTAAAGCGTTATTTTCAAACTGTGATGTTTGCTATTGTAGACATTCAACCATCACCACAGTGGCATGAACCACCAATTACTCTGGCATATATTTTATGTAGCAGATGCACTTCCAGCCGCAACCCAACACCATTTTGGGAAACACCCATAAACTACTCTAGACATTCTAGTGGTTATATAACATAGAATATAATAACACTAATTGACAACACAGAAGACTGAAGATGCTTCATTACCATACATGATTACTGCTCTCTCACTGGAATGCAGATTTTAATGTACCGCTGTGATCGTCCAAGGTTTAATAAACATATGCCATTCATCATCATTTATTATAATTAATCTTGCCTGGTTATGTGAGTCATTATTATGATCTTTTAATGATTAGTCATTCAGCACTAGCTCTACTGCACATTAGAGACTCATTCTTTTCTTATTGTGTGTGTGTGTGTGTGTGTGTGTGTGTGTGTGTGTGTGTGTGTGTGTGTGTCAGATCTCTCACGCTGCGGTCAGTGCTCTGTGCCGCTCTATAAAGCTGCAGTGTGAGCTCTACTCCTCTCGCCAGATCGCCATCTGCCTTGACCCCTACTGCGGACTTGGTTTTGTGCTCTGGTGCCTTGCAAGGTAACAGATGGATACACGCAAGCAGTCACTTACAAATGACTCATACTAGCATTAAAATGACTCAGTTAATATGAAACATTTTTGAGTGACCTCACTACAGGCCTTGATTCTTTCTGAATGGATGCAGTTCTGTTTTAAAGGCATTATAAAGCTAATATATGCTTGGTTTTTGCAGTGTCTACTCTGGTCATCAGTCCATCCTGATCCCCCCTATGGAGCTGGAAACGTCACTGACCCTGTGGCTGGGAACACTCAGTCAGTACCGCATCAGAGACACCTTCTGCTCCTATTCTGTCATGGAGCTTTGCACCAAGGGTCTGGGCGGACAGACAGAGCTGCTGAAGGTATGCTCAAATGCATATTTACGCAAAAATATAAGCAAACTCAGGAATTTTTACACTCTGTATTATGAAATGTTGTTGTTAGTCTCATTAGAAATAAACAGTGCTCTTCAGTAAGCATTTTGTTTGTTCAATATACAGTTGAAGTCAGAATTATTAACACTCCTGAATTACTAGCCCCCCTCTATATTTTGTTTTATCACCAATTTCTGTTTAACAGAACGATTTTTCAACACATTTCTGAACATAATAGTTTTAATAACTTTTCCTTGCCATGGTAACAGTACATAATATTTCACTAGATGTTTTTTAAGATACTAGGATTCAGCTTAGAGTACAATTTAAAGGCTTAACTAAGTTAATTAAGCAAGTAAGGATAATTTGACAAATCATTGTATAATGATGGTTTGTTCTGTAGACAATAGAAAAAATATATATTGCTTAACAGGGCTAATAATATTGACCTTAAAATGGTTTTAAAACATTTTAACTGTTTTTATTCTGTTCTCCAGAAAAAAAAATATTATAGGAAATACTGTGAAAAAATCTTTGCTCTGTTAAACATCATTTGGGAAATATTTGAAGAAGAAAAAATCACAGAAGAGCTTATAATTCTGACTTCAACTGTATGTCTAATAGACGTCTAAACATAGTCATCTTGGCTGGACCAAAGCTAAATTTGGGCTAATAGTGAAAATCTAATAGATGTCTAAGTATAAATCAAAAATAGACTAAAAAAAGACAGATGTGTTATTTATTTATTTATTCTTGTCTTTTTGACGACTAGCAATAACATCTATGTATGGATGTCTATTAGATCTCTTTTAAACACAATATTACGTGGTGGATTTAAACAGGTGTGAACAGAATCTGAAATGCTTCCAGCTTATCCACTTTTGTCTATTTCCATGGGATGTCAACGTATTAAATTGCCTTGCATTTGTAGTGTGTACGTTAATGTGTTTGTATGTCTTAACACATTAGGGGAACACTTTATTTTGATGGTCCATTTGAGTATTAGTAGGCTGTCTGCTTAATATCTGTTGATACATTTAACTGACTATAAGAAACTTTGCAAGTACATGTCAACTCACAACCTAACCCCAACCTAAGTCTACTTTAAAGAATTAGTTGACATGTAGATGCAATGTAGCTTAAATTCTACAAATGGCCCATCAAAATAAACTGTGACCTACATTAATCGTTATGGGAGAAAGTGTACAAAACAAGGTGTTGATCCTTCATTGCATTGTACCAAAACAGATCATGATCAAAATCATACTTGCCATCCACATACTTTCTATTGCTTGTTTACCAGTTCAACCATAAACTGCATATTAATTCAATAGTACTTATGTGTCCCTCTGAGTAGTCCCATAAAAGTGAAAAAAAAAAAGTTGAGCTCATCGAAGTAAGAGAGGTTTTAAGGTAATCTGAACAAAAAGAAACATTTTACAACTTACCTTCAAAATAATGTAAAATAGTCTACCGATAGCCATAAATAAAAGCAAGTGTTTACAAACATTATATAGACATTTAATTTTAGATTCCTCACTTCACAAGTGTTTTTAGTGTCAGAAAAACTAAAAAAATAATAATAATAATAATATTATACATACAGCATAACAGAAATGGAAGTGGTGTTATACAGTATATAAACAACATTTATTAATAAACTCAATGTCTAAACAAATTCATTTAAAGTAAATTTCCTCATGTGGGAAGGCACTATGCAAGTGCACAGATAACCTCTTATTCAGCGCTAATCCAAGTGTAAGTGTTCATGTTTTGCCTGCTTGATGCATTTTACATTTCTTTATAATATAAGTAGCAGGATTTTTTCTGATGAAAATGTATATTAATTATATTACAAAAAATGTGTTAACTACCTTGTGTCATGCTTAACTAATATAAAATATGTTTTGCATAATTGTTTTTTGTCTATGCATTAAAAATCAGTTGAGATTAAAACAGCAATGGACCCCAATAAACACACACACACAAATTGTAATTTTCAGTTTTGAGCTCTTCAAGACATGTTCATTTGGATTAGCAGAATAAAATGTAGACAATATCAAATTCGGCCTCTGAGAAATGTGTATAAAAACATATTTTGTTAATTTACATCACATCAATAGGCAACTTTTTCTGTGTTTTTTTTAATCTTCACATGCTCCTCTTGTTCTCGGTTGCATCAGGCGCGTGGTGTGAACCTGTCGTGTGTGAGGAGCTGTGTGGTGATCGCTGAGGAGCGACCACGTTTGGCTCTCACACACTCCTTCTCCAAACTCTTCAAAGATATTGGACTCTCCATGCGGGCTGTCAGCACTGCTTTTGGGTCGAGAGTTAACCTGGCTATCTGCCTACAGGTAGGTACATTTTTACACCTGCTGTAACTCTGGGTTTGTTAGAGTTCACTGCATTGTCTAGATGATTGACATTACCACTTTAAATCATGCTTCATAAGGGTTACAAAACTTTCAGATCATGGTGATTGGAATCGCTTGGAATTATGATTACTGACATTATAGATATGTTGAGTACCAGCCAGAGATGATAGTCATTATTTCATTGTGAATTATGTCATTAGGTTGTAGGGTAAAAGAGCTGGTAATATGTTTTTTTCAGCCGGTTCACTGAAAAGAACTGTCCAAAAGAGATGGTTCACTTAAAAAAAATGAATTTCCCATCAGAACCTAAAATCTGGGATCTACTCTGTTTGACATAATGTGACAGATTCAGTATTTGTTATAGTCATTTATTAATCCAACTTAATTCATCGTTATTTCTATAGTGCTTTTACAGTGTAGACAGTGTCAAAGCAGCTTAACATAGTTATAAATTGAAAAAGTGTCAGTCCAGTTTTCAGAGTTGAAGTTCAGTTTAGTCCAGCTTATTGTGGTTAAATTTCACTCCTAAAAGTCCAAACACTGAATAGCAAATCCAATGATGCGCAGCTCCACAAATCCCAACCAAGCAAGTCAGTGGCGACAGTAGCAAGGAAAAAACTTCACCAATTGACAAAAGTAAAGGAAAAAAAACCTTGAGAGAAACCAGACTAAGTTGGGCATGATAATTTTTTCTCTGGCAAGACGTCCTGTCCAGAGCTGCAGTTTAGGCACCGGAGGCTGATGAACCCTGGACCCCCAATGTGGAGAAGCTGCAGGAGTGAGTAGGTCACCAGCGGGTGTTCAGGCTGGCCCATGGTATCAGTGTGTAGACTCATTTATCACTGTATGTCTCATGCTCTCCACTCCTCCATGACCACAACAGCATCTGCTCAGGATACGGCCTGGTCCAGGATTATGGAACCCTCAGGAATAATGAAAAACAGACAAACATAAGTGTAGATGCCGTTCAAATAACAATGTCTTTTGGAAAACATTCCAGGCTTTGGTTGCCCTAAATAATGCAGACAAACAATCCTTTAGAGGATTTAGATTTCTGGATGCAAAGAGATGTGTCTTTAATCTAGTTTTAAACAGACAGAGTGTGTCTGCCGAACTGTGCTAGAAAGGCTGTTCCAAAGTTTAGATTACGTTACATTGCATATTACATACTTGCTTCTGATTGGTCAGTCGCGACATTCAACATTCAACAAGATAACAGCTGCAAAAATCACACGCTCATCCGGATATTTTGAATCACCTTGACCGTCACTGAAAACATTAATATCCATATACTTAAAGTCACATTCATTTGAATCTGCTGTATTCTGCAATAACAACATTCTGGGTGTACTTTCGATCTGTTTGGACAACAGATGAAAATTAGCCCTTGTGCCTAACTCTGGCTTTTTTATGTTTTTTACTAGTTTTTACTAGTTGATTAATAAGCATTGTCATTATTAAATTAAAAAAAAATGTATCCTTAACTGCATTGACATTAAAAAACAAGTGGAGAAGGCCCCATATTCACTAAAAATGAATTTTTGCTGCTTGTTTAAACTACTTACTTTAAAATGAGCTGAAACAACACAATTATTGAGCTTTCTTCTGCAACATTTTAATTTGTTAGTTAACTTAAGAGATTTGTATTGGGGGAGGTGTCATGGTGGCGCAATGGGTAGCACGTTCGCCTTACAGCAAGAAGGTTGTAGGTTCGAGTCCCGGCTGGGTCAATTGGCATTTCTGTGTAGACTTTTCCTCTGGGTGGGTGCTCTGGTTTCCTCCACAGTTCAAAGACATGTGCTATAGGTGAATTAAAATGGCCATAGTGTGTGTGTGTGTGTTCAACCTGATGTGTCAGTTATATAAGACTTGTGTTTTTTTACAGGGTACTACAGGACCAGACCCGTCAACTGTATATGTGGACATGAAGTCTCTCCGACACGACCGGTGAGAGAAAGAAATACTCAAACTCAAAATCAAACAGAGCTTAAAGAGCACAATATGACGTGTGTGTTGTGTTTCTGACTCAGCCAGTTGGATTTGTGTTTGATGACACTAGTAGAGTGGAGGTCATACAAATTGCATTCTTTTAAAAGCCACACGATTAAATCTATTATAATACTCGGATTTGTTCCAGAGCTGCTTGTTTCTCTGACTAAATAAACTTTCTTCTCTTGGTGTTTGTGTGTTTTAGGGTGAGGTTAGTAGAGCGAGGAGCACCACAGTCGCTTCCACTCATGGAGTCTGGAACAGTAAGTGCATTTCTGTTCTTGTTAGAGCAAGTGTGAATTGAAAAGATTGTTGATAATGCTTTAAATCTTTCACTTTCTCCTCGTTTAAGATTCTTCCAGGTGTGAGGGTGGTCATAGTCAATCCAGAAACTAGAGGACCGCTAGGGGACTCTCACCTGGGGGAGGTGCGTTGACATATGAGATCTGTCTGTCTGTCTGTCTGCCTGTCATTCTATCTATCTGTCTGTTGTTCCTGTCGTTCTGTCTGTCTGTCTGTCTGTCTGTCTTTCTATCTGTCTGTTGTTCCTGTCGTTCTCTCTGTCTATCTGTCTGTCTGTCGTTCTTTCTATCTATCTATCTATCTATCTATCTATCTATCTATCTATCTATCTATCTATCTATCTATCTATCTATCTATCTATCTATCTATCTATCTACCTATCTATCTATCTATCTATCTATCTATCTATCTATCTATCTATCTATCTATCTATCTATCGGTCTATCTGTCTGTCTGTCTGTCTGTCTGTCCTTCTAACTATTTGTCTGTCTGTTTGTCTGTCTATCTGCTGTTTTATCTATCTGTCTGTCGTTCAGTCTGTCTGTCGTTCTATCAGTATGTCTATCTGTTGTTCTATCTATCTGTATGTCATTCTGTCTGTCATTCTCTCTATCTGTCGTTCTATCTGTCTGTAATTCTGTCTGTCTGTCGTTCTATATGTCTGTGTTTGTCATTCTATCTATCTGTCTGTCATTCTATCTGATTGTCGGTGGTTCTATCTATCTATCTATCTATCTATCTATCTATCTATCTATCTATCTATCTATCTATCTATCTATCTATCTATCTATCTATCTATCTATCTATCTATCTATCTATCTATCTATCTATCTATCTATCTATCTATCTATCTATCTATCTATCTTTCTATCTATCTATCTATCTACCTATCTATCTAGTAATGTGTCGTCTGACATGTTTATTTTCCATGATGTATCTAGTAATTGGCTGTAGTAACATAAAAACTACTGTGTAGTCTGAACCTGACATAAAATGCCTATGCACACTAAGAATGAAGACTATAACCATAAAGATATTATTATCCACACAGATGAATGATAGTAATATATTTATTATAAATAGGTGCTTCAGTTGAGCTGTCTGTCTGTCTGCCTGTCTGTCTGTATATTAGGGCTGCACGATATTGGAAAAGTCTGATATTGGGATATTTTATTTTTCTGCAATAAATATTGTGATATGAATACAGTTTCACAACACAGTTTAACTAGCACCATTTGACTCTTCTCTGGGGAGTCTAACCTGTATTCAGGTACAGAAATTGGATAATCACAATGCAGAACATGCTGTTCTTACTTTGCTGTATCTCGTTTCTTGTCCAAATATCTAAAAATTCTTAGAGCAAGTAAAAATATTGTTTTGTTTTCAATGTCTGAAGATATGTCAAAATTAAGAGTTTTTCCATAAAACAAGTAAAATGATCTGTTAGTCGGGTAAGCAAAATAATCTTGTTTTTGCTTTGAAATGTAGATCTTTGGACTAGAAACAACTTATCAACTTGAAATATTTGCTCAACTATAAATCAGACTCAACATTGCAAATCTTTGCGATGTGACTATTGCGGGTGCGCACATTCCGGTGTTGATGCTGAAACTACAGTATATATTGTGATGTTCTACTATCTATCTATCTTTCTGTCTGTCTGTCTCTCTGTCTGTCTGTGTTTCTGTCTGTCTTTTAAATTTATTATAGCATGTTTTTCCCAAACTTTCCGTGCCTTAAATGAAGTCTGTATACTTTATATAGAGACAGATAATTATTCAAATGACTTTTTCTCATTCTAGATGCGACCAAGCATGCCCCTGTGTTTTTTTTTTATTTTTATTTTTTGTCCCTGTATGAGCACCTTTAGAAAAACTTTATTAAGGACGACATCATTTTCTTTGCTTGTCCACTTCTATCTCTTACAGATTTGGGTGAACAGTCCTCATAATGCAACAGGATACTACACAATATATGGGGAGGAAAATCTGCAGGCTGACCACTTCAACACTAAACTGAGCTTTGGAGATCCTCAGACGCTCTGGGCCAGGACTGGATACCTGGGCTTTGTCAAGAGAACTGAACTCACAGATGCCAGTGGAGGTGAGAGGGAGTAATGCAGTGATGTCTTTTAGAAAGGATTATTAAAGCATAAATAGTTCTCACTTTAGATTAGGTTACAGAACTGTATGAAACTGTGTTAATAAAGCAGTTATTAACATTCAGAGCAACTATTACTAAATTCTTGAATAAAAAAGATATATATATATATATATATATATATATATATATATATATATATATATATATGTTAATTTGAATACTTTGTTAATCATTTACTAACTCATTCTGAATGATCTTAAAAACCACCAACTATCCTAAATAGCCGCTTTGTAAACAATGAAATACTTAATTTAGTAATAATGAAAAACATAATCATTAACAAAGTATAAAAATAAAATCATCAAGCACATTTTAGATTTGCTTTTAAGTCAAGAATACAGCATTTTTAGATGTAATAAAAACTACTTACTAATGTCCATTAATGCTATAAAAATTAAGAATGAACTAATTGCTAATGCTTAATAAATGATTCATAGTGTGAAGTTATTATAAAGTGTTACCTATAACATTGCAACTAGAGGTCTCAGACATTTGCCACTATAGATTCCTTATTTATCTATGACATAATGTTTAACCACACTACAGTAAATGAATGCTCATGTAAAAATATGCCTGGCTATATCTCTTTCTGTTTAGATCGCCATGATGCTCTGTTTGTGGTGGGCTATCTGGACGAGACTTTAGAACTGAGAGGTCTGCGATATCATCCAATTGACATCGAGACCAGTGTGTCTCGTGCCCACCGCAGCATTGGTGAAAGGTAACTTTGCTTTAAGAGGGCCACATTATGCTTTCTGTACTAGTTAAACTTTGTTGTAATGTGTTGTCTCAATGTCACAGATCTGCTATAAACCTTTTTGAGGAATGTAAACAATAAAAATGGTCCTAACATTGTCCTATTTGACATTTATTTATTTCTATAGTTTCCAAGAAAAATCCACATATCCAATGTTTTAAGGCAAAGTTATGATTGAATTGCATCTTGTCACAGTTGTGAAATACATTGACAAGAAGCAGGAAATGTTGATAGGCCAACGACATCACCACATTGAAATGCTCTATACTAATACACATGCTTGTTTTTCGCTCCGCAGTGCCGTTTTCACCTGGACAAATCTGCTGGTGGTGGTGGCTGAGCTCTGTGGATCAGAGCAGGACGCTTTAGACCTGGTTCCACTGGTAACCAATGTAGTATTAGAGGAGCACCATCTGATTGTGGGAGTAGTGGTTATTGTGGACCCAGGCGTCATACCTATAAACTCCAGAGGAGAAAAGCAGCGAATGCACTTGAGAGACTCTTTCCTGGCAGATCAGCTGGACCCCATATACGTGGCGTACAACATGTGAGCTGCTTTATGGGTGAGCCAACAGTCTACCAGAGAGGTGCTATGGAGCCTGGCCTCAGAACGTGGGATTGGGTTCATTAACAGACAGACTCAGCCCTGCTTTTTTAGGGGATAAAGTGTTATTTAACTGAAATATAAACACGTGAGATGACTGTTTTTGGAGAAGGAATAGTTTAAAATAATTGCTTATTTCCTTCCCTCCTAGATCCTCCCCTTTTCTAAGCAAAATGCCACATACTTGATGTCCAGCTCTTGGTCATGATCTCAACTTACTTGAAGTACATAGCAGTTTTTTTCTCTTCTTTAACACCCTTCTGTTTTAGCACAGTCTAGTACTATTATTAATTCAAATGAGCTTAAAGCCTCAGTTCGTAAGTTTTAACCTAGGTTGTTTGATTTCAGAGTTTCTGAAGTTTCTTTTAAACAATTCCAAAATCAATTCTGGTTCAGACTACGCAGTATATGTCTAAATTGGCACATTTGTTGAGCTATTTCAACAGCGCATCTTTATGAGGATAACTGAAGTCAGTCGCTTTACTTCAAAATAAAAATTGTCCTGTTTCTAGTCAAGATATCGAAAAAATACTTACATCAAGTGTTTTCTTAAATCAAGAATTTTCTAAATAAATTGATTTTAAATTTATTCTGAAAAATTGAGTCATTAAGTGAGTGAATAATTAAGTGAGTTTTTTGTTAAAACATGCTAAATGATCTGCCAATAGTGCACCCACTTCGAATGTTATCACTTGATTAATTGAGCAATATCAGTGGTTTTCAGCTGATAGATATGGGCCAGTAGGGGCCTTCTGAGCATACTAGTAGGCTCAGAAGGCTGTTTTCATCCATCAACATGGTTAATCAGCTATGCTAATATAAATGACTCCAGATCCAGATCTATTTTTGCATTACTGTAACGGTTGGTTTTAGGGTTGGGATAGGGGTAGACGTTAATAAAACACAATTAATGGGAAATTTAATAGATAATATAAATAATTCATTTTAACTTCTGGCTGCAGCTGTATGTAATCTATAGCTGATTAACCATGTGGATGGATGATAACCCCTACTGGCCAATATCTATCATCTGATAACCACTGATAACACCCATTCAATCGAGTGATAACATTCGAATCGACTGAATAGTGTAAGTACAATAATTACGTTTTTAGTTTGAAATATAATTAAATTAATTATATTATATAATTAATTATAGTTAAAAAAAATAATTATTTCCCTTCCTCCCCGCTGGTAGATTATTTTGCTTGTTTCAAGGAAAACTTAAGGATTTATAGGTACTATTTCTAATATATATATATATATATATATATATATATATATATATATATATATATATATATATATATATATATATATATATATATATATGTGTATTAGGGATGCTCCGATCAGGATTTTTGCAGCCGATATTGAGTACTGATTCCATGTCATGGTGATAGGCCGATACATTGCATAAGCACACATACTCTTTAAGTATGAGATCTCGCCTAAGAGAATAATTTAAGGATGTTGCACACATGTAATGGTCAGAAGTAGCTTGACAAAATGAAGATAGATAAAATATTAAAAAACGATAATAAAAATTACTTTTAATAATTTGATGATTTGACCCGGATGTATCTCCCTCTGCCTGTAAACAAACACTTGCGATTGGTTAATAAGATTGGCTAGATTAAGGAATACCGATCGAGTTGTGAAATGTGATTATCGGCCAATACCGATCTAAGCATCCCTAATATATATATATATATATTTTTTTACTCAGCTAGAAAATTGATTGATTCAAGAATTTTTAGATAGTTGGATTAAAAGCAAAACCAAAACTCTCGTTTGCAGTGTTGCTCATCCTTCGCAATGACATCATGCATGCCATCAAACATTGAGCAATGATTGGTCAGGAATAATGTGTCGTTTGACATGTTTCATTTCCATGATGTATTAAATAATTGACTTTAGTAACAATAAAATTACTGTGTAGTCTGATCCTGACATAAAAGGCCATGCACACTAAGAATGAAAACTATAACCATAAAGATAATGATATTATTATCCACACAGATGAATGATAGTGTTATATTTACTATAAATGCTTGCTTCAGTTGTGTTGTCTGCTGCTTTAAATGCTCGAGCTCTTAAAGGTGAAGTGATTTCTGATTGGCTGTCAGTGTTTGTATTGCTTTTAACTGAAAAACTAAACAAAATCTTTCCTCTGTGCCATTTAATGTTGCATTTTATGCTGGACACAAGAGAAGATTTAAAAAATAGTATTGAAATCTGTTGCTATCCTTTTTCAAACATTCCTCAAAATATCTTCCTTTGCGTTCAACAGAAGAATAAAAACAAACCAGTTTTAATAAGTGTTTAGGGTAAATAAATAATGACAGGATTTTCATTTTTGAGTGAACTTCCTCTTTGGAGTTATAGTTATTATCTTTAATGTGAATGGCCCTTAATTCTTAAACAAAGACAAAGACTAATTGAAACGTAAAAATAAAAAGTGCAATATAAAGTAAAATAATGTTTATGATTGATAGAATAAATGATAAATGGACAAAAAAGATCAGAGTAACACCGATCAGCCGAGTAGTTCTGTAGGTTTAGCAATATCAGTGTCCTCTTATGGGATTTGTAATACTGTAGTATTCAAGGTAATGAACACAGTCGTACCTAACAGATCTGAAAGAATGATTTGGTTCTTTTAGGCTCTAGCCTTGCACGATTGTGAATATAACCCAGAATTGATCTCCAACCCAACTTATCAATGGTGCTGTGAGTTACAGGGCGTAAAATTTATAGGAGTATTGATACTCTCCTCATCATTAGTCATTCATCAGATGTTTGTGGGCAAATGAGCTCATGGTATATTTAATACAGAGACAGTCCCTCTAGAGCAGCCTGGGGTTAAGTGCCTTTCTGAAGGGCAGTGTTAATGATAGGACATTCCTGTAACGTATAGAATGCCCTTACCCAGGTTACGGCCCACAGCTTCATCCACCATCGGTTTGGTTAACACACTTTTTTTTGCTCATTCACGAAGCATTTAGAAATTGAATTCTTACCACTGGGGCTTTAACACAGTTTATTACAGATATGCAGCTATTCCAGTAACAAACGTACATATTTTAATGTAATATTTACAAAATACAAGCAGTTTTGGATTTTAGTATACCGAATTGCATTGTAATATCCATTTATTACATTATATTTCAATGTTATACAACTTTTTTCCTTTTAAAATGACATTTAGCATGTTGTTATTTAAGGGTGCTTTCACACCTGTAGATCAATTCTTTTGTTTCGAATTTGTGTTCTTAGTGCGGTTCGCTTGCACACGGCAAAGTTTCTAAATGGACCCAACCAGCTAAAACAAGTCACGTGCGAGTAAACTCTCCTCACATTGGTCAGAGTTTTACGGTTTATTTTTCCTGCTCAGCTGTCATGTGTCTTTATTTTAGTTTATGACAATGAGCAATTGGAAAATATAAGCGAAAGCTGCACTTTCATTGTGAATAGTGACACCCACAGACATCGTCATCAGATATAAATCAGAGGTAAGACTTTCTCATACATAGCAGTTGGCTTTTGCATTATAGGCTTTACATTATAGAGAGAAATAATAAAAACCAAGACTGCTGTTTAGTAAATTTTTCTAACGGATAAACAGTTCTTGTTAATAGTTAACATGCTTTCACTTTAGTATTTGACATGAAACGCATATTTACCGGTAGGAATGACATCCCACCCTACTCATCATTCTCTCTTCATATAGCCATATATATCATACCTGTCAACATTTGGATGTAAAAATAAGGGATATGCCCACCATAATAAGGGATAACCTTCCACCGCCCAACCCCCAAAAAATCCCTAAATTCCTAAGTATGTTCTTCTGGAGCTGTTTCATTGTATTTATCACTATAGAGCGCATCAGACAGTCACACACTATGACTGTTTTGAGGATTGCATAGGATGGGCGATGGCACCTGTAATGAAAAGGAATTTTTTTTTAAATTGCTTTCAGGTCTAAATAAAACAAAAGCACAGAACAGACTCACATTTAAGAGCAAGGGGCGGCCCCTGGTGGTTTGGAGGTATGGTTTGCGTATTGTGAGAATCGACTTTTTAATGCTTATTGCCACTCTTTAGAGAAAGACTGGAAATATGGGAAAATACCTTTACGGGATAATAGCAGGATAGAACTGTAAAATATGGGAGAATCCCAGGAAAACTGCAGGGTTGACAGGTATGGTATCTATGCCTATCGCATAACCATAATACTCTGTGATATAGCCTGGTTCAGATCGTGTCTCTTTCTCTACAGTCGATCTGTGCCAGAGTTCGTTTCAATCAAGCCGAGACCACGTCATTCAGGCGATCTCGAACCGATTGTTTTGGCGAGGGTCCGATCGCAATTGCTGGATTCCCATATGCCAAACGAACCGCACTTACTGGGGAAACATGCCAGGTTGCGAAACAAAAGTCTAGGTGTGAAAGCACCCTTGCTCACAAACAATTTTGAATAATTAGTTGAATAATTCAATCGAGCTATATTTAAACTATTTAAATGATTTTAAAAGTGCTATAATATTATATATATGGGTCAAAAACATTTTGTTATTTACATCAAATTAGTGTTAGTGAGGCCAGCAGGGGGCGCTCAACCTACGGTCTGTGTGGGTCCTAATGCTTCAGTATAGTGACAGGAACTCTATACTGCTCAGTAAGCGCTGTCTTTCAGATGAGACGTTAAAACTGAGGTCCTGACTATCTGTGGTCATTAAAAATTCCAGAATGTCCTTCAAAAAAAGAATAGGGGTTTAACCCCGGCATCCTGGCCAAATTTGCCCACTGGCCTCCTAACCATCCCCATATCATAATTGTCTTCATCACTCTCTGTCTCCTCTCTACCAATCAGCTGGTGTGTGGTCTGGCCCGAAAGTTATTTTGGGCTGTATTAATAAACTATTATTGCACTGAATGACATTTAAGTGGATTTCGGATAAATTGTAGTAATAATGGGCGATATTCATTATTTTTTGCTAAGAAAAATGAACCTATTACACTTTCCTTGTTTTGATGATTAAACAGCTTTGTGTCTTTGACCCATATATTCAAACAAACAGCTCCCACAAAATCACCAATATTGTTTTCCGTCATCCTTTATGCACTTTACTACATAAATAAGGATCTATTGTGTAACATGGACTATTAAGGGCATACATGTAATCCAACATATTTTCTCACATTATTGAGTAGCGTATGACTTTTCACGAAAAGCGCAGGCACATAAAAACACTCCCATTTAATCTAACCTCATCATCTGCATCTTTAAAGAAACACACACCAAGCCTAAACACATCCAGCTGTACTGACTGACCGCAAACCTCCTCAATACACGGAAAGCCCAAACCAAACTCAACCTGAGCTACAGGACTGCTCGATTTTTGCTCATCTAAAGGTGCTTTTACACATCAGGACAAGCCATTTAAACCTCTGAATGGCTAATAAATTCAGGCATCTGTACAATAAAGCGAAACAAAACTGTAAAATAACACCACTCTGTACAAGTCAGCCCCCGGTGAACACCTAACTGTACAAAGGCATAGATTTTACATGTTTGGCAAAGGATCTTTAAAAGGACACTTGCTGTCTCTTGTACTATAGATGTTTTTACTAGGAATGACTAACTCACTTCTTGTAAACCTGAACTAATTGTAAATAATTGCTTGTGTACAGATGAGAAATCCTACTGTACTGTATTGTAAGTTAGTTGCTGTATTTTGGGGGGGGTTATTATGAATATTAACTGCTGTCACTGGCATCCCTTCACAGCCGAATGAAGGTGAAGATGACTTTGTAAATTGCTTGCTTTGTTTCTGTTGGATTTTGTTTTGGTTTTTGGCTGATCAGAAACGTGACTGGTTGAAGTCTGTGTACAGATCTGTTTATTTAGCATTCAGCTACAGGAATTGTTCGGTCGTTACGATGTAAGCATGATCAAGTCGAGCACTGTGGGGGGCTTGAGAGATTACTTTCCGAGTCCTTACACAACTGAACACTACAGTTTGTTAGCCTGGCCTCATTCATCATATGATGGGGTCGAGTACTGTATGAGCGGTCACGCGTTTTCTCAAATCAAAGACACTGTCATGAAATGTTTTCTCTCGTTCTCACTGT